CATGAAAAATATTTGAAAATGGTTTACTGGTTTATCAGGCTACCCCTTTGTTATTCTTCATTCTTAGGATGATTTGTGTAATGTTCTGGTTCTTAAAACCGTACCAAAGGCTCTCTGAGTACATAGCAAAAATGTTGTATGTAAGAATAGAAATAAGAAGCATGTGTCTAAATGATTGCGTTTTATTACTTGAGGCCTGAATTGTCAGGATTGAAACTGAATGATCAGGTTGTGATTCTTTTCTTTCAGTCCACTAATTTCATTCACCACTGATCGAGCCCCTCCCAGGTTTTGAGACATAGATCAGTAGTCCAAGGTTAGCAGTCTTCACAGGGACTAGGGCAGGCAGATGATAATTTTGAAAAATGGGACTGGGGCAGGCAGATGATAATTTTGAAAAATGGGACTGTGGAAGTCCTAGAAATGGGTATGGTATTATTCAGCAAAAAACACCTTTGCACCGTGACTTCAAAAAGCACTACTGATGTCACAGGTATTTTTTCCTCGGTATTTTATTCATCCTGTACGATTGCCCTTTGCTTCTTCAGAGAGATTACCTACCTCAGAGAGAGGTGACAACAGGCTCTCCCTCCTGGTGCTTTCTAAGCCATGGGGCTTGCTTACATTTACATCTCTGCACTTGTCATTTATTAGCTTATTTATCCACGTCTAACAAACCGATGTGATCATTTCCTCACTCACTGATGTTTATTGTGCTACCCTGTTACCTTTGCTGCCTGACAAATTACCCCACTGGACTGCAGTCATCTGAAGGCTTGCCCCGGGGCTGGAGGGTACATTGCTAAAACATGGTCCATTCACACCCTGGCCAGTTAGCACTGGTTATTGGCACGAGGTTTCTGTTCCTTGCCACACAGGCTGCCCCAGTGCCCTCATTGAATGACACCTTGAGGTACCTAGAGTGAGGAATCCATGGCAGAAGCCCCAGTGTCATTTATGAGTTAGCCTCAGAAGTCATAGTCTGCCATTTATGCATTATTTACACACGGGTGCCCTAGTCATTGTGGGAGGGGGCCACCTGAGAGGGTAGAAATACCAGGAGATGAGCATCATGAGGGCTGTTTTAGAGGCTGGCTACCACAGCTGTTTAATATCTCTCTTGTTCCTCATTTGTTGCTTCCTATTTTTGGACAGCAATGTGGAATTAGAATGACCATTCTATATTTGTACATAGCTTCTCATGAAAATATACGAGAGGAATTTGAGAAGGACCTAGCTTCCAAATGGCCAGGAACACAGTGACAGATCATAAAATTGCATTGATTTCGAGTTTACTAATTTGAGGATTTGTGTTAATAGAGGAGTCATTTATAGGATTTTTCTTAAATTTAAAATAATTTCATATGGCAAGGCCTTTTGACTAGGGAAGATGCATGGGTGGTGTACAATTAAAAATGATAGATTACTAGCAAATATTTCCTTGATAGTTATGTGCCTTAGTCCTTTTGGGTAGCTATAACGAACTGCCAGAGACTGGGAGGGTTATAAACACACAGAAATTTATTTCCCACATTTATGGAGGCTTTGAGGTCAGAGATCAGGGTATGTCAGCATGGTCTGGTGAGGGTTCTCACATGGTGGAAGGGGCTAGGGATCTCGCTGGCCTCTTTTATAAGGCACTCATCCCATTCATGATGGCTCCACCCTTATGGCTTACCATCTCCTGAAGGCCCCATCTACTAATACCATCACTTTGGGGGGTTAGGATTTCAACATAGGAATTTGCAGAGTGGGGCACGCAAACATTCAGACTATAGCATTATATAAATAGATTTATTCTGAGTCTATAAATTTCCTTCAGCTTATCTCGTTATACCCAGTATCTATTTATGTATGTTATATACAAGCATTCCCCAACTGGATTTAAAAATAACATTTTTTTAAAGTTCATTACTAAGGATTTAGGTTTTATTCCCTCAAAGGAGAAATGTTATATTGCTCTCGTGTTCTTTGAATTGAACATGTGTTCCAAGGCATAATTCCAACCCACAGTTATTTAATGTATTAAGGACTATTTTTGTTTTGAAGGTTAGAAGGAAATAATACCATTGCAGTTTTAGTAATTGAAGAAACCAAAGAACTGCAATCTTGAGTAAGAGGAATTATCTTTAATCTGGTGCTTAAGGAAAGATTTCTATAATTTGAGAGAAGGTCTTATTAGAAATTTAGGGAGAATCTGAAAGAGGTCTCTGGATTTCATTTAATTTAAATTATATATGTGTGTGTGTGTGTAATAAATATATATATACACACACAAATGAATCAATCAACCCCTATTCTCACTCTCATTGGCCTCAAGGTGTTTTTTATTTGGTTTTGTTTTTCTTGGTTTTGGGTTGGTCTTTGGAGGGGTGTCTATCTACTAGTAAGTCCTAAAATAGAATGGAGAAAAGACTTTACTGGTGTTATACAGTAAACCTTAGAAGAGAAAGGAAGCATGTTGGAGACTAGAAGTGAATGAAAAGAATGAGGAAATTTGAAAAAGGGGGGAGGGTTGGATTTTAAAATTTTTCCTAAAAGAATTGTCATGCTGTTTTTCCAAATAGTAATAATATAGAAAGTCATGTGATAAGTTGATGCTTAAAAGAGGAAGTAATGTATAGACAAAAATGATGACTGAGATTATAAATGATTATCTTGTGGTTAATTCATGATAAATTGCAATCTTATATGAGTCAAATAACTGTACTTGAAAATTTATACTAGGTAACAAAACATTTCCTTATTCTTGGAATCGATTGTTCTTTGTATACCTTTTTTTGTGGATTTGTATGCTGCCATAGATAAATGTTAGAAGATTCTGTATAGTTAATTGAAGTTTTGTGTTTTTGTTTTGTTTTTTAGAGTAAATGGGATAAAACCATATTGAGAAACAGCCTAGGCATTGAGAAAAAGTTCCATTTATCATTCTTGAAACAGAAAATTGGTAAAATGCCCTCTGAAAGCTGAATCAACTGTTATGACCAGTTTTGGGACATGTCCTTCTCAAAGTTTCAAAGATCCTTGTTGGATCTGTGATTTTATAATTTCTCTTAATCCAGTGATTTTTTTAAAACTTAAAGATTTAAGAATTTAGGTTCAGTGAATTAAACATTGAATCAGAGTCCATATATAATATATGAACCAGGAATTTAAAATGAAACCTAAGGGGCACTTGGGTGGCTCAGTCATTAAGCATCTGCCTTCGGCTCAGGTCATGATCCCAGGGTGCTGGGATTGAGCCCTGTATCGGACTCCCTGCTCTGCGGGAAGCCTGCTTCTCCCTCTACCGCTCCCCCTGCTTGTGTTCCCTCTCTCACTGTGTCTCTGTCAAATAAATAAAATCTTTAAAAAATAAAAATAAAAAATAAATAAAATGAAACCTCAGACATGGTTCCTCACTTCAGAGAGCTCACAGTTAGATTGAGGAAACAGCTCACATATGTAAGTAATGGAGATAAAAATTTTATAATTAATTTTTTTAGTGATTTCTTTTTTTTTATTTTAAAATTTTAAAGATTTATTTATTTATTTATTTTAGAGCAAGAGTGTGCATGAGCGGGACAGAGGGAGAGAATCTCAAGCAGACTCCCCACTGAGTGTGGAGCTTAACACAGGGCTCAGTCCCACGACCCTGAGATCATGACCTGAACTGAAATCAAGAGTCGGACGCTTAACCAAAACTGAGCCACCCAAGCACCCCTTTAGTGATTTCTTTTTACCAGTCAAAATTTAAAGTATATTATCCCAAAGTAAGCTTTAGCATTGAGTCTAATTTATGTAATAATATATGTGCCAAATCTAATGCTTGTGGCCACCTCCCTGTCCCCCCATGTATGAGCTGAAAATGCCCTGCCCTGCAGGAAGATTCTGAGTTGGAAAAAGACTTGTGCCTTCAAATTGAATGAGGGTCGGAAAGTCCCAGGCAAACTTCATTGGAGATTGAGGATGACTTACTTAGAGGGATGCCAGTGAAATTCTTGAACTCCAAGTTTCTTTCTTTCTTTTTTTTTTTTTTTTAAATATTTTATTTATTTGAGAGAGAGAGACAGAGCTAACAAGAGAGAGAGCATGAGCGAGGAGGAGAGGGTTCAGAAGCAGTCTTCCCATGGAGCAGGGAGCCCGACATGGGGCTCAATCCCAGGACCCTGGGATCATGACCTGAGCCAAAGGCAGACGCTGAACGACCGAGCCACCTGGGCACCCCTGGAACTCCAAGTTTCTAGAACAGTTTGCTTGTAAGAAAGAGGAGGAGAGGATGAGGCTAGTAAAATACTTCTGCAACTCTAGAACTGAAAAAACATTGGAACAACATGTATGAACTTTGAGAGAAAGGATCTACCCACCAAAAGTCATATACATAGTAAATGTCAGGGCAGAGAACAAGAAACTATTGGAAATGCAAGGAATACCAGTGGTGGACCCAAAATGCTAAAGAATCTACCTGAAGTAACTCTACCAGATAAAGATGGAAGCATAATGTAGTTCTGAGGATAAAAGAAGACAGTGAAAATAGGAAGCAAATGCAGTTTTATAGGAAACCTGTACAGTATTGTAAACAGTTAAGTCTAAATGGATGGAGTTAGTAAAAATCTTGCTCTGCCTTTTCCCCAGTTTTAGTCCATTTCCCAGCCCCATCCCCTACACACTCCTTTATGGTCATTTCGGTGGATTTGCAGGAAGCAGATGAGGTTAAAAGCATGTGTTCAATCTAATGTCCTGATTTAGAAAATCTGTTTTAAAAATGCTATACTTGTTACCACAAAGGTTGTTGTGAAGTTGTTTGTTCAGTGCTCTTACTGCAAACAATAGAAACTAGCTATGGCAGATTTAAGCCAAAAAGAATTCATGGATGGGGTACTGGATGACTCTCGGGATCCTTGGGAAGGCTGGAGAACCAGGCTCAGTTAATTGGAGAGAAATTGTACAAAACTTCACAGTGACAGCACTATATCTTCATTTAGAAATAAACTGCCTTTTTCTTCTCTTTTCAAATGTAGGTTATATATTTGGGGAGAGCTCCAGAAGAAGCATATAGAATACTAATGTGTGGAGATACATCCTTTATTCCTTTCAGGTAAATATAAGAATGATATGGTAGACTCATTCAATCAGGCCCTTGCCAGAAATATCTTGGTATAGTTGTTTCTGGGGGGAAAAAAGGAAAGACCTGGTAAGTAGTCATTTTAGAGTGGATACAAATACACCACAGATCTAGGTTGCTCAACAGTGACACTATTGACATTTTGTTGGGGGGCTGTCCTGTGTGTTGCATCCCTGGCTTCTGCCTACTGGTTGCCAGTGACACCTCCACCTCCACGAAATTAGTTGTGGAAACCAGAATGTCTCTAGGCGTTGCCAGATGTCCCTCGTGGCAGTGAATCACTTCTCTGTGAGAACCTCTGCCACTCCTGGAAGCTGTACTTTGTAATCAGACGAAGTCCTGGAATTCTGGTACTCAGAGCTACCACTGAGGAGTTTGGGTCCTGAAGAGTTAAGAAGTAAGTTTTCCTGATAATCAGGAGTTAATTTCAGTGGCATAAAGGAACCTCTTCGTCCTAGTAATATGCCAACAGAGACAGTGGGTGAGGTTGCTAATGTAGCAGCACTACTAGAAAAACCAAATAGCTGTGTCGTAGAGGATGGATAGAAGTGATGTCCATCTGTAAACGGATGATAGCCTCATCCTCAGCTCAAACTTACCAGGTGATTGTGTTGAAGATACTTTGAAAAAGCATGTGTTCTTCTTTAAGGTCTAAAAGTTTCTCTACCTGTTTCTCAAAATCCTTGACTTAGCTATGCAATCAAAGTATTGTATGGCACTTAACGTGTAATAAACATGTGAAATAATTTTACGGATTCCATACTGTGTTGATAATTTCAAGTACTGCATTATTCTTCCACTCATAAGTTAGTAGTTTTTAGTATTGGTGCGTATGCCTTGAATGCCTGATGTTAAAGGTATGGCCTTGCTTTTAAAACGTAAGGTTGTGAATTTGACTTCATTGTAGACGGGCTTTGGGATGGGTCTCCCATTGAACTTAGGCATAATCTTCTTCAGTAACTGTATGACTGTCCATGGACTTACTCTATAAATTGATACTTGTTTCAGTTCTATATTGCACTGAAAACTGTATATTAAGTGATTTAGCAAATTAGAAGAATTACTTTGAACCCAGTCCTACCATCTTTCTTTCTAGTGCAAGGATTATGTGAGGTCTTTTGTTATTTGAGATGGATAGGAGGAGATGAAGATTATTTTCTAAACTGGAGAGTGCTCTACTTTTCTTTTCAACCTGTAATATAACAGCAACCATATATTTCCTTTAGAAGAAATGCTTGTATCTGTGGTCTATGAGTCACAGGAACATTGGTATACAGTGTTAATTTTGTTGTAGAGTTCTTTATATTGGTATTCCTTTATAATAGTGCCATTCTTAAAGTTCATAACATAAGGTCCTGAAATACAGTAAGCACCCATATTTCACATATCCAAGTAAGGATCCACGGAACACTGTTGATGTAAAAGAGAATTTGCATTAATTTAAATGCAAAGGCCAAAAATAGAATAAATGTTGCTTTTTTGCCATACCTGTGTTTAAGATTATTGAAGTTTGGCACTGAGAAATGAAGTTAGTTACTTCTGGTCCCAGGAGTAAAGTTAGTAATTCTCTAAAAAACAGGACTTCGCTAGAAACAGCTCAAGTTTGTAAAATTTGAATCTTTATAGTCCTAGATGCCAGATATTTGATGTATCTAAAGTATTGTTTCTCCAAGTATGGCCTGTGAATTAGTGTCAGTCTGTGAACTTTTTCTTATCAGCTGTGATGAGATAAGTATATTTATAAGAAGAATTTGGGCTTGTATTTGATGTGTTTTTTCCTTCTATTTTTCTAGTAATTCATTTTTATTTGTAAATAAAATAAAAATTTACATATTTTTATTAAATAGAAAGTATTTATTTACAGAAATTATTATTTTTGGATATGTAATAATACAGTACTATTGTATTTTATACTTACTGCATTTTACAAAAGTATCAGCCTGTGCAGATTTAAAAATCTGGTGCTTCACCACATTTTACTGTTCTTTTAAACTTACTAATAAGAAAGTAGGTCAAATAGAATTAATAAAGCTTGATAATATTTTTTTAAGCTTGATTGCGTTGTAGTCTTTTATCCTTGCCACTTTAAGTGCGTAGAATAAATATATGCACTTCAAGTGCACAGTATAAATATAGCTGTTAACAAGAATAGCATTCATTTGCAGTTAAACTTTTTATGCTCCGTAGCAATATTTAGTTAGATTTAATTCAACTTAGATATAATTCTTTAAGCACTGAGTTTACATGTTTGTATATACATATATATGATTTCTTAATGGATTATATCAATATTTCTCTGCCATCTAAATGAAAATACAGTATAAAATGTAGTTCAGTATTTTTTTGATACCTTAGTGTTATTGTTAGGAAGAGCATATACTGCTGTTCTTTGGTATTACCTGTAATACTCCTTTGCTTCTTAGTTGATTTTTTTGCGGGGGCGAGGGAAGGGGGCCTCTGCTTTCTGTTTTCTTGGGAGATAGTATTGTATAGTTTTTATAGCTTGATTATTGACGTCAGACCAGGGGGAGTTTGACCCTCAGTTCTGCCACTAACATCTCTATGGTTCTTTACAAATGTGAGCCTTGGTCTCCTACTCCATAAGTGGGAATGACAGTAGGATCTCCCTAATGGGGTATGAGGATTAAGTAACATTCTGCATATAAAACACCTAGTATAGTGCCTGTCCTTAACTAACATTTATTGGACATTCATATTTTTGTTTTTTTTTCAATTGATGTGTGTCTTCATACAGCTAAAAGAAACTTACTAATGTCATGTATATGTAACTACCATCCAGTTCAAGGTACAAACACTGCCAGCAATCCTAAGGATTCCCTTCAGCCCCTTTCTAGTCAGTAACCACCCCCCAAGTAACCACTACTTCTACCACATCAGTTTTTCTTGCCTTTGAACTTCATATGAACGGAGTCATACAGAGTAGGCATTTTGGAGAGTTGGGACCTAGCTTTTTAAATACATTAATGCCTGGGGCGCCTGGGTGGCTCAGTCGGTTAAGCGACTGCCTTCGGCTCAGGTCATGATCCCAGAGTCCTGGGATCGAGCCCCACATCGGGCTCCCTGCTCAGTGGAGAGCCTGCTTCTTCCTCTCCCTCTGCCTGCCTTTCTGCCTACTTGTGCTCTCTCTCTCTCTGTCAAATAAATAAAATCTTTAAAAAATAAAAATAAAAAATAAATAAATACATACATAATGCCTGTGAGATTTATCCATGTTGTGGCAAGTATCAGTAGTTCATCCTTCTTTTTATTGCTTTCCATTTTTTTGCATTTCCATTTTTATTGCATTCCATTCTATGAACATATCACAGTTTATTTGCCCTTAGTCCTTTTGATGGATCCTTGTGTTATTTGCAGTTTTTGGCTATTATGCATACAAGCTGCTGCAAAAGCTTTTTTGACAGTATTTGACATTGTTTTGCAGTTTCTCAGCAATACTCTTTCATTGCTTCTCATCTGCCTTATTTATTTATTTATTTATTTAAAAGATTTTATTTTTAAGTAATCTCCACACCCGATTCGGGGCTCAAATGTACAATCCTGAGACCAAGAGTCGCATGCTCCATCGACTGAGCCAGCCAGGCATGCCCTCATCTGCTTTTCTAAGTTGTTTTGTTTTGTTTTTTTCTTTCTTTTTCTTTTTTCTTTTATTTCATTTTATTTTATTTATCTGTTAGAGCACAAGCACGGGGAGCTACAGGTAGAGGAAGACACAGGCTCTCTGCTGAGCAAGGCTTAGCCCGATGTAGGACTTGATCCCAGGACCCTGGGATTATGACCTGAGCTGAAGGCAGATAGATGCTTAACAGACTGAGCCACCCAGGCGCCCGCTTTTCTAAGTTTGTTAAATGTTCTTAGTGACAAGTACCCCATCTCCCCCGCCCCAGCCTTACATCCAGATTCATAGCTACTATTCTGCTGTTTTGAAGAAGCCTGATTGCTTGGGTAGAAGGAAGGTTGTGTGGGTGTGTTTAAAGTTGGAGGTGTTAAGAAATACATAATGAGTAAAGAAAGATTTTTGTTGTCTATTCAGGTAGTATAATGTATGAGGCAGAACTTTAGCTGAGCCCAGATTAAAGCTTGTGGAATCATCATTGACTAGTGCAGGGCTTGGCCCATTGTAGGTTCTCAAAAAATATGCATTGAATAAATGTATCAAGTTATCACAAAGACTGAATCAACATGCCTTTAACTTGACTGGGGAGGAATTATCAGTAGGTTAAGAAGATAATAAAAGTAACTGAAGAGACATGGTAAAAACACAGGGATGTAATTTGAGAGTTCACCGTATTTCCACTGATAATTTTTTTTTAGAAGATTTATTTATTTGAGAGAGCATGTGCAAGCAGGGGGAGGGGCAGAGGGAGAGGCAGAGAATCTCATGCAGACTCTACACTGAGCAGGGAACCTGACACAGGGCTCAATCAATCCCAGCACCCTGAGATCATGACCTGAGCCGAAATCAAGAGTCGGCTGCTTAGCCAACTGAGCCACCCAGGTGCCCCTCCGCTGACAATTTGGGGTTTGGTTTAGGCTAAGTTCATTTCCCTACCATAGGTTCTCTTTCTAAAAATGTTCTTTATTCCTTGAAAAAATTATTCCTATAAAACATATGTTTTGTGTTGATTCTATAGGTCAGTGGTTCTTAAACTTAAGCATACATCACAATCACCTGGAGGACCTATTAGAACAAAAATTACCTGGCCCACCCGTAGAACTTCTGACTCAGTTTGGGGTGGGGCCTGGGAATTGGCATTTCTAACAAGATCAGGTGATGCCTATGCTGCTTGACCAGGGACCACACTGGGAACTATTGTGGGTCATTTGTTTTTCTCCTTTCTGAATATTGCCAATAAACTCTTGGTAAAATCATTTTCTAAGCTGCATAGAGAGCTTGTCTACCTTTTAGAAGAGAGCGGCTTTTTAAATTCAGAAGCTTACAGGAAAAAATGGTGCGTTTTAAGACTTTGTGTGCAGTCCTATGAAGGCTAACATATAACTTACCTCAGTAATTCTTTTTTTTTTTTTTAAAGATTTTATTTATTTATTTGATAGAGAAAGACACAGCGAGAGAGGGAACACAAACGGGGAGTGGGAGAGGGAGAAGCAGACTCCCCGCCGAGCAGGGAGCCCGATGCGGGACTCGATCCCGGGACTCCAGGATCATGACCTGAGCCGAAGGCAGTCGCTTAACCAACTGAGCCACCCAGGCGCCCTTACCTCAGTAATTCTAACAGATTTGGACAGTATTGTCTAAAACTATTTTAAGTAAAAAGGATGTCCTTTTCCTCCTTGTTCATGTTGCTATAAAAGTGTGTATTCTAAAGGTTTGTGTAAGTTGAAATTTTAAAATGTGCTGTTCAGGGGCACCTGGGTGGCTCAGTCATTAAGCATCCGCCTTCGGCTCAGGTCATGATCCCAGGGTCCTGGGATCGAGCCCCGCATCGGGCTCCCTGCTCTGCGGGAAGCCTGCTTCTCCCTCTCCCACTCCCTCTGCTTGTGTTCCCTCTCTCGCTGTCTCTCTCTCTCTGTCAAATAAATAAAGTCTTAAAAAAAAATAAATGTGCTGTTTAATTTTTCAGGTAAGTAATATTACAATGGGAAAACCCAACCAAGGCAGGCAATTAATGATGATGGCTTCGGTAGCAGCCTGGTTCCACCAAGGGACCAAATAAGGACAATTCAGGGAGTCACAGTTGTTTGGCATTTCTAGAATGATCACAATTCAATTAATTTTTATCTTGCCTAGTTCCAAACATTTTCACTTTGTAATGGCTCAGGGTAGCTGGAAAGGAAAAGCAGGTGGGAGTGGAGGATGGCTTTATTTTTCTGGACAAAATCTTAACTGACATTAAGAGATTTGTGGTAAGATTACTGATAGCCGTTGATGCGGTATTGGGCGGAGTTGTCTGTAAACTAATTTAAACTGCCCAGGAGTACTAAAGGTGGTTGACCCCTTAGTTCCTGTGGTTTTCTTGGTACCCTACTCTTCTAAGAATCAGAAAGAAGTTACTCAGTTAACTTGTTAAAGATTGTGAAAGCATAATGAGAAGAGCAGACTGTTTTTTAACTTGCATCTAGTATTACATATTACCTTGATTTCCCAATATTTTCTTCCTACATGGATGGACATATACCTACAACACATACTTACACTTGCACGCATATATATGTAAATACAGAATCAAAAAGAAGTCTTTCCTGGTAACAGTTTAATATGGTATTTTCCAGTTTGAAGGAAAAATGCAATGCCTTGCCCTTTTGTGGGGAGGGGAACATTTTACTGATTAGAATTCGAGAAGAAACTTTTGAAGCCTAGCCATCAAGGCCGGAAATGATCTTGGGAGATCATTTGAAATTTAGAAAGTGCTCATTATTGATCCACATATATAAAACAGTATCTGGTGGAATAGGTAGAAACTGCAGTGAAATTTATAAGAGTGACTTATCTTTGACTTAAAAACAAAAAAGCAAGATTTTTTTTTTTTTGAGCCTGGTCCTGATTTTGTGGTTTGATTTTAAATTCTAGTCAGCTCTGTCTTGAGGCAAGTATACTACAGAAAATTAAATTAACTGAGCTATATATTTCAATACTTTTGGGATTTCAGAGATGCTGCCTATGGAAGTTGCAATTTCTACATTACACTTCTCGACTGTTTTCACGCAGTAAAGAAGGTAAGTGATTCGTAGGATGCGCCCAGTGTTGAGTTGGAAAACTACAGTTCCCAGGAAGTCTAGACCTTCCACAAAGATCTTCCAAGATGTGTATGATGTCAGTGATACCCCATTTCCCCACTAATGTTAGAATGATGCCAAACCAGAAAAGTTTTTCTGAATCTGAGTGTTTCTCTGAATGAGTTGGGAGAAAAGCCACTTGAACAACAGAGGACAATAAGAGATAGTTACATAATTAGGAGCTAAATCCAGACTTGCTTTGAGTGTGTTGTGATTTCAAAGAAAAAGTAAATAGATTACTGGTTTCCAAGTTCTCTTTGATTCGTGTATTTTATGTGTCCAAGCAATATCCACCAATCCTAATTACAACGGACATTTCTAGAACACAATAACTGATAACAAACACTTCGTTTTGTATCTTCAAGCATTCAATTTTTAGTTCAACAGAAGAATTTGTATAGCCCATTAGTTTGTTACTAGGTTTCATATAAGACTAAGTAGGGCACCACTGCTTTGTCAAGGCTATTTAAAAATAGCTCCTGTGTTTTATAACCAGGGCTGCCTGCTGTCTTTGACTCCTAGGGACACCTTTCATGTCATGGTCCCCTGGAGTTCTGTGACGCAGCAGACTCTGGTTATAACACTCACTCCTCAGGTATGTGTCTTGAATGTCAGGGCAGCACAAGAAACAAGAATTGCAAATCAATTGTCCATGGATCAAATAGGCCTTCAACAACATCTCAAGTTTTATGTGACTTGTATTTTCAGAGGCAAAAGGAACCTGGGTTTACTTTCTTGTGTAATGAAACACGGTGGCTTTCTGAGAATTTTGAGAACTAAGTTGTATACAAATTCAGAGATTAACTAGTATACCTTTTGCCTAGTATTAGGCAACAAGGTATGGAACTTAATGTTTTTTGGGGTTTGAGTCCAGTGACTGATGGAACTGGTCGGGTTTGTTGCCATAGGCTTTGAGGCAGCTCCATCAGGCCTCAGGTTAGGCAGGTAACGGGCAGAAGGAGTGCTCAAGAGATGGAGGGAGAGCAAATGTAAACGAACCCCTTCCAATTGCAGTTACAGTTCCTGCCAGATGGGCCCCTAGGAACTGTTAATGTAGGCAGGCATACTTGTCCTGATCCTAGGGCTCCCTTCTGTCCTTTAAAAGGAGAGGTGAAAAACTTAGAGAGCCTTAGAAATGGTCAACTATAACATTCTATAGAGGTTTCCATTGTTATTTCTCAGCTTAGGTTTTTTTTTTTTTTAATCAGATATTACATCCAAAGTCTAATTAATTAGCAGGAACTATAGGCCAAGATTGCTTTTCTCACTCTATAATTTTATTCGGCAGCTTCTGATTTTCAGTTTAAACATTTTTTTGTTGGTAGCTGATTTGGAATATTACTACATATATAAAACATAAATATAATTGTGACTTAATATTAATGAGGCTTCTAATAGGCTCTCCTTATGAATAGAAATTGCCTATAAACTACATTTTACTGTATCATTCTGTTAGGAACATCTCTATTTCAAATGGCATGATATATATTGAGTGTTTTGAATTCAAAGAAATATAATTCATCATGGTCTTGGAATTAGAATTTAAATAGCTATATTTTTAAAAATGGGGCTTTTTGTTTGGTATTGTAGCCTTATTTTTCATTCGTATTTCAGAAGGTTAAATTTTGAAAGCTGAGTTTACAGAGTCACCCCTTATGAACCAAGAATACCTTGCTGATCAAGAATTCTTATGCACAGAGATGGAAAGTACAGCATAGAGAATGTAGTCAGTAGTAGTATATAATAACATTGTATGGTGACCGATGGTGACTACATTTATTGTGGTGAGCACTGAGTAATGTATAGAATTGTCAAATCATTATGTTGGACACCTGAAACTAATAAAACATTGTATGTCAACTGTACTTCAATAAAAAAAAAATTCTTGCTTACATACTGCTTGGCTCGAGGATCATCGAGCAGGGACAGTGCTTCTCTGGGGCCACCAGCTCATCTTTGTCTCAGAAAGTAGATACTCTACTTATTTTGCTTAGTATGATCTGCCCACTGCAACTCAGAGTGAGGCCACAGAACAGAAATCATACGGTTTTACTTTTTATTGAAAGAAGAATTTTCTCAAAATTTTGAATTTTGTAGTATCAGGAACATTTAATCTTTTAATTCAAACTCAAAAGAATTTGAAAGTGAAAATATTTACAAAGTGGTGGGATTTGCTTAAGATAAGCTAACCTACAGTTTCTTCTTTTTTTAAATTTATTTAGGGATCATTGCTTGGGCATTATATTTGAAGGCTGAGTGGTGTTCATCTACTAAATTTAGTAGGATTACTTTGAAAACTTGGTTATTTAGCTCTGCATGGATAGGATGACTGATGAAGGAAAGTTAAAAAAAATCAAATCTCATTAAAATAAATACTGTTAAAACTAATTTTCCAGATAATGGAAACACTTAAAACACATAATCCACCATCTTTGAAAACTAGTCAGTGGAACAAAATCTAAATATAATAATATTCTTTTGGGGTACCTCCTGAAGTTTTTAGTTAGGAAATTAGATTGGAAATTGTTTTCTTATTTACATCTTTATTCTTAAAAGCTTTCCTTTGGATTTTAGGCAATGCAGTATGACTTCCTTAATTTCAACTCATTTAACCTTGATGAATATGAACACTATGAAGTAAGTTTTCAAGGATATCACTTTTAACTCCTTTATTCATGTTTTGCTTACAGAGATAATATTCTTGTTTTTTAAAGAAGTGAACAATTTAGATGTGTATAGAGTAAAAAAAATTTCAAGTCTTTATCCTCTTACCCCCAGTTCTGCAGTTCCAGTTCTTGGTGGTGATTTCTGCATTTGATGCATCTTCTCAGAATGCATGAATGTGCTTATGGGCATTTTTCTTTAATTTTTTTTTTTTTTTTTAGTATTGATGGTTTTCATATAGTGAGCAAATGAGGAAATCATAAAACCCTTAGCATAGGATCTGATGAGATGAATAAATAATCATCATACATCTAATTACCTCTGGAAAATAGGTTTTTATTATAACCTTTTGTTTGTATGAAGTCAAGACACTATTGGTTGCAAGTTACAGAAAGTAAATAGAAATGGCTTAAATAAAAAAGGAAACTTTATTGACTTACATAAATGAAAAGTCCAGGAGCAGGTGTAACTTCATGCATGACCAGATTAATGTACTCCAGTACTTACCAGAAATTGGGCTTAAGCTCCCCAGTAGTGATAGAGATGGCAACCAGCAGCTTTGATTTATTCGCTCAGCAAACTCATCAGGAAAGACCCACAGGTTCCTTATTGGCCTGCCTTAGATGTGTCCCCAGCCCTAAACCAGACTGTGGTTCTGATGAGGGTGGTTGGTGGGTGGGCCATCTCGGTAGTTGGAGTGGAGTGCTGGGATCAGCCTTATCAAGCCACACAGACAAGGAGAGAGAGAAGAAAGTCCAGGAAGGCAAAGCAATAGATGTCCTCTACATTTTCGAATGTAGTGTATTTGTTTTTTAAAGAATAAGTAATTTGGTTCTCCCATTCTACCCTTTAAAGAGTAAGATGCTATGCTAACAGTCTCCCCCAAGAATACCTGCGGAATCCTGTCTTTTTGTCCTACTCTGGTTGTCTTGAGCAGACATTCTCACTCATAGTGGAGGGATTCCACAGACAGCACCTCATGCAGCAGTATCTGGAATCCTCGGATAACTGTCCTTTCACAATCGATTGCTAGAGTAACTATTATTTTAAACTGTTAGGTAAAACTGAACTGTTTTAGTAGGTACGATTAGTCACTACTGTGACGTACAAAGATCTAAAGCATAGGTCAAGATTGATTCATTTGGCTGACCATTTCTTCTCTGTAATAGGAGTACATTTCTGAAGTACAATGTACATTTAATTTGCATCTTAAACTAGTAAATATAACTTAATACCATTATTTTTGTGCTTGTCCTCATAAAATTAAACTAAAATAAAATGTACTTTCTCTTTTTAGGCAACTAAAACTAGTAAGAATGCCAGTTGGTGTCCTTCAGTGGAGCAGAGTGATGTCTTTATATGTTACTAAGGAGTAATATAGGTGCTAATTAGTTTCCCTCTCACTAATGCAGAAATTGCAATGTTGCGGAGAGTAGCAGGGTTGCCCACAAAAGCTGTTTACTTTCAGTGAAATTGCATTGAGACACAAGGAACTGTTTAGGTAGCTACAGACCATGGGTCTGTATTTAAAATTTTGGATTAGTGTCTTTTATTGATTCCATGATGCCCATTTTTTCCCATTTTAACTTCTCGGAATTCAGGATCCATCTTAAAATCTGTGATGTCTGCGATTCAATGAAATCTAATCACAGGATTCTCATTAAAAACTCCAGATTTCTGGTTTCTTTTCAAAATTGGAATATCTGGGCAGGTTCTCATTCCTACTTAGGCCTTTTAGTATGGAACATGGTCTCATTAATTTCCCTTCACTGATAATTAAGTCAAGTAAATTGGATTTGGATTTCCTGACTGGCCAGCAGATATTCAGGCAGCAGTTTATTTCTTCCTTGTTCTTGGGTGCACATATGTTATGTATACCCCAGTTGTAAAGCTAATTGATCTTGTTTTTATTGCTAGTTCTCTCCTTCTCCACTATCAAGTGTCTTCTACTTCCTGCTTAAGACTTTGTATATCCATTTCTATTATTGTTAAAGTTTAGCTATATTTATCTTACAATAATTGTTATGGTAACTTAGTTGAAAGGACTTAACAGGAAGTAAAGTGTTTTAAATTTCAGTCTATATTCATGTTTTTTCCTAGAGATCTACTGTGATCTTACTGTACTTGTAATTTCAAATTTCCTGGTGCAGATTTCTCATTGACCCTCTTACTAAATAGCTAACAAAATGATGGAAGTGTGTCTCTCTAGAAGTAAGGTGTAAATATGGAGAAATCAAGAATTTTGTTTTTTTCCCTTTGTTGAAGGAGTCAAGATTGCTCATATTGGAAGCCAGTTAGTCATTCAGGAAAATAGGGAAGTTTCTGGATTCCCTCACAGTAAAAAAACTTTGCTTTCTTATTAAGTAGCAGCAACCATATGAGAATTTACGTGGATAAAATAACCAAAATACTTAGGTATATTTTAGGTAGCAGCAGTCAGCTCTATTTTCCAAAGGCTGACTACCCTAGAAAACAAATACTGTTTTAAGAACAGTGATTAGGACCAGGGGAAGTTAACTAACTCTTCCCTGGGAATATTAATAGGAGGCTAAATTTTAGTTTCCTGTCTCCTGGTCATTTATAAACAGTTTTTGTGCTAAAGAAAATGGATTTGAAGTCCTTCAGACACTCAGTATTGAGAAGGGATGGGGACAGGAGATGAAGTCTAAAAATGAATTGTACTGATCTTCCATTTGCAGAAAGCAGAAAATGGAGATTTAAATTGGATAATACCAGACCGATTTATTGCCTTCTGTGGACCTCATTCAAGAACCAGACTTGAAAGTGGTATGTGAAACTAGGGAACCTAGTACAGTTTTGTTATTAAAAGAAGTATCCATCCTATATTTTTCCTTTGAAAGAGTCCAAAGAGTTAAACCACGCTTGTCTGTCTTAATTATTTAAATATACTTGGTCATTTTAGTACATCATTCTGCCTGGCTTTTAACTTCTTAAATTACTGCTTTTCGGGTGCCTGGGTGGCTCAGTTGGTTAAGCGACTGCCTTCGGCTCAGGTCATGATCCTGGAGTCCCGGGATCGAGTCCCGCATCGGGCTCCCTGCTCAGCAGGGAGTCTGCTTCTCACTCTGACCCTCACCCCTCTCATGCTCTCTCTCTCTATCTCATTCTCTCTCTCAAATAAATAAATAAAATCTTTGAAAAAAAAAAATACTGCTTTTCCAGTTATAATCAAATTGGTGTTCAATCCTAGTCCAGATACTCTTTCCACCCATTTACAGGTGAAATTGTTACCCATTGTTTTTTTTTTTCTGCACTTGACAGCATCTGGTGAATTTCTCTATGTAGGGTACCACCAACATTCTCCAGAGGCTTATATTCCATATTTTAAGAATCACAACGTTACTACCATTATTCGTCTGAATAAAAGGATGTATGATGCCAAACGCTTTACGAAGGCTGGTTTCGATCACTACGATCTTTTCTTCGCGGATGGCAGCACCCCTACTGATGCCATTGTCAAAGAATTTCTGGATATTTGTGAAAATGCAGAGGGCACTATTGCAGTACATTGTAAAGGTATGTTTGCAAGGCTGGTTAAAGAATGGTGGACATGCATGTATGTATGTTTAGAGACACACCATGCCCATTTAGATTATATGCCAGGACACATGAAGCATCCTTTCTTGTTGTTTTTTGTAAGTTGCTTTTTTCTTAAAACCACTTTATTGAGGTATGATTGACATGAAAAAGCTGTGCCTATACAGAATGCTTTTAAAACCCTAATTTCATATGAAAAGTACAATCTAAGTTGTATTCATTGGTAACCCTACAAAACCTTAATCACACTGAAATGCATTCATTTAGGGGTGCCAGGGTGGCTCAGTTGGTTAAGCGTCCAACTCTTGGTTTCGGCTCAGGTTGTGATCTCAGGGTCGTGAGATCGAGTCACTTGTCAGGCTCGTGCTCAGCAGGGAGTCTGCTTGAGATTCTCTCCCTCTCCCTCTGCCTCTCCTCCTGCTTTCTCACATGTGCGCTTTCTCTCTGTCTCCCTAAAATAAGTGAATAAAATCTTAAAAGAAAAAAAGATATGCATTCATTTATTCCTCAAATACCTATTCAGGGCCTTTTGTTTGATATGTTCTAAAATATGTCAGTGAGCAGAGCAGACTCTGAGAGTTTGTCTTTGTGGAGCTTATATTCTAACAAGTTGCTATGTTTTCAGCAGCTAAAGCAGTGCTTTGGCACTTAATAAGTATTTATTGAATGAATGATTGTGTACTAATAATTGTATGATGTACTAGGGTTTATTTAACTTCTCCCACATTTAATAATGGAAAAAAGCAACCAGATAGAGGATCAGTAAGGAAATAGGAAATAGAGGATTTGAACAACACGTTAATAAACCAACTAGAGGGCGCCTGGGTGGCTCAGTTGGTCGAGCGTCTGCCTTCGGCTCAGGTCATGGTCCCGGGGTCCCGGGATCGAGTCCCGCATCGGGCTCTCTGCTCAGCGGGGAGTCTGCTTCTCCCTCTGACCCTCCTCCCTCTCCTGCTCTCTGTCTCTCATTCTCTCTCTCTTAAATAAATAAATAAAATCTTAAAAATAAATAAATAAATAAATAAATAAATAAACCAACTAGAAATAAGAGACACACTCAGAACACTGCCCCCCAACAAGGGAATACATATTTGTCTCGAGTACACAGAGGCCATGGTGGTAATGGCTGCACAGCAATGAATTGGTTAATGCCACTGAAATGTACCCTTAAAATGGTTAAAATGATCTCCAGACTCCGACCATAAAGAAGCCTAGATTTTTGAATTACTGGGCAAAGAATTTGAAACAGCTGATTTAAAAATGCACAGTGAGCTAAAAGGAAACAGAAATAAAACCAGGAAAATGATGCATGAACAAAAATGGTAAACTTTATGTCATGTATATTTTACCACAATTTAAAAGAATAAATAAATCTAACACTGGTTATAATTTTTTAAATTATAATAAGCAGTTGAGGTTATTCTCACCCTCATTCAGGGTGGTTCTGCGCCCCCCAGCAGACATTTGGCAATGTCTGAAGACATTTTTTTCGTTTTCACAAACTGGTGGGAGGATGCTACTGGTCTCTGGTGGGAAGAGACCAGTGATGCTCTTAAATAGCCCACAGGGCACAGGACAGCACTCACGCCGGCCCCAAATGTTAATAGTGCTGAGGTTGAGAAACCCTGAGGTTGACTGGTGGCCAGTTAAAAACCTGAAGAGGATTTGATATGACTGGATCTTTGTTTTGGAAGAAAACTGATGGCCGTGTAAAGCTTGGATTTTAGGGAGTATTAATTTGCTTGGGGGACCACAGCAGAGTACCACAGACTGTGTGGCTTAAACAAAAATTACTGTTTCACAGTTTCAGAGGCTAGAAATCTAAGATGAAGACGCTGGTAAGGTTGATTTCTGGTGAGGCGTCTTCCTGGATTGCAGGCAGCTGCCTTCTTTTTGTCCTCTGTATACACTCAACTCCTGATGTGCCTTCCTCTTCTGCTAAGGACACTAGTCCTATTGGATTTGGGGCTTTCCCCACGTGACCTTATTTAACCTTAATTACCTCCATAAGGCCTTTTTCCCAGAGATAGTCACAGTGGGAGTTACGACTTCAACGTGGATTTTTGGAGAGGCAGGGAGCAGCGGACACAGTTCAGTCCATAACATTGTGTTCTCTGGTTACCCAATATTTCCTGTCCTCGTATGACAGCCCATCCCAGCAGCCTCCAAAGACTTAATCCATTCCAAAATCAGTTCCAGGTCCGAAGTCTCATCTAAATATCCTCTAAGATAATGGATGACACTACAGGTACAATTCTTCCTAAGACAGAATTCTTCCCCAGCTGTGAACTGTGGAACCTGGCAAGTGAAGCGTGTCTAGAATACAATAGTGGGACACCCACAGAGTAGGCGTTCCCATTCCAAATGAGAGAAATCAGGAAGAAGAAAGGTCTGAACGGTCCCAAGCAACTCCAAAACCTGGCAAGGCAAATGCTAATAGATCTTAAGGCTCAGAATGGATGATCTGGTTCATTCCCTGTCACGCAGGCCCACATGGGTAGCAGCCGTGCCCCTGAGGTTGTGGGCAGGAGCAGCCTGGCCCACGCACCACAGAGCTGGCCCTACCGTTTGAAACCCAGGACTAGACAGCCTTGTCCCCGGGCTTACGGTGGCAGTGGCAGCCTTGTTGGTCCCTTGGGGTTATGCTTCCCTTTTCTTGAAGGATGAGGGGCATGTTTCCAGTGAGATATTTCTATTAGTCCTATTAGAATCCCAGAAACTTTCAGGTTTCAGGCTTTCAGGCCTTCCTTTATTTCATCCTGTGTGTATCTCCATGAGTTCAGACTGGCAGTGTGTCTGCTTGGTATAATCAGTCCCAACACTGTTTTTGGCTTCTGCTGAGATGGCTGATTAGATCCATAGGTAATCCCTTTATGGAGTGGATCATTGACCATACCCTTAGTGTTCTTTCCAGAACATACTTTCTCACTGTTTGCAATATGGATAGGCCTAGAATTTTCTAAATGTTTAGTTTCTGTTTTGCTTAACGATTCCTTCTTCAGTTTATCTGTCTTCCTCACGTTTTACTATCATAAGGAGAAACCAGGCTGTACTTCAATACTTTGCTTATAAAGCTCCTTTGCTAAATATCCAAGGTTGTCACTCACAAGTTCTACCTTCCATAAAGCACTAAAACAATTTAGTCAGGTTTTTTTTTTTTCTTCCATTTTCTAACAAGGATTGCCTTTCTTCTGGTTTCCAATAACATATTCTTCATTCCCATCTGAGTCAGAATCAGAATCACCATTAACACCCATATTCCTTACCAACAGCCCCTTCAAGGCGGTCTAAGTTTTTTCTAACATTGTGCCTTAAAACTTCCAGACTTCTACAGTTCCAATTCCAGAGCTCCTTCCCATTTTTATATATGTTAAAGTAGCACACCATTTCGCAATACCAAAATCTGTCTTAAGTCAGGGTTTTCCAGAGAAATTAGAACCAATGGGATGTAGATATAAAGAGATGTATTATAAAGAACTGGCTCGTGAATATGGAGGCTGACAGGTACAAAATCTGTCATGTGAGTTGGCAGGCTAGAGACCTAGGAGAGCCAATGGTGCAGCTTAAATCTGAAAGCAGGCTGTTGGAGAATTCTCTCTAGCTTGGGGAAGCCAGTCTTGTTGTTCTCTTCAGACCCCCACCCACATTATGGAGGGTAATCTGCTTAGTCACAGATCTAAATATCAGTCTCCTCCAAATACACCTGCCAGGCTGACATACAAAATTAACCATCACAGGAGGTAAAGATCATAGTGTAGATGAGAGTAAAGGAGGACAGCAGGAATAGAGTTAAAAAAGAAACCCATGTGAAAATGGGAATAAAAGTAGAGTAGAAAAAACTATTGGATGAGGGGAAAAATGTAAAAGTTTAAGCCCATGAGTTTGGAAAGATGGTGGTACCGTTAACGGAAAACCCAGAGTAGAAAACAGTGCACTTACTGAGAATCATTGCTTCGAAAAAGTGATTTTCACTGTTGACCACTCTCTGGGGGATGTTAGTGATCTCCATGTCCAGGCTGTATCCCATACCAATTAAATCAGAATTCTGGCGGTGAGACCCAGTATTTTTTAACACTCTTCAGGAGATTACTGTGTGCATCCAAACTTGAGAACCACTGTTGAGGGACGCAGAATCATGGGAAGCCTTCTAAAACATTGTACCTACCCAACACAGTTCTGGAGTCCATGAGACCAGGTCCCTTTGGCTTGTTTCTTTCTCTAGCTGGCCTTGGACGAACAGGCACTCTGATAGCTTGCTACATCATGAAGCATTACAGGATGACAGCAGCTGAGACCATCGCTTGGGTCAGAATCTGCAGGCCTGGCTCAGTGATCGGACCACAGCAACAATTTTTGGTGATGTAAGTAGACAGAGAACTTTCGTAATTCCTCAGGGAACACATGGGTCTGGAAAATGATGGGAAGTAGGATTTTTCTTAGTCTCCAGTAACAACAGATAGTCTGTAGGAGAGAGTCGTTTGCATGTGTCTTTCTGAAAAAGCTGTATTTTGATGTTATTTAAATGCTCTAGGAAACAGGCAAGCCTCTGGTTGGACGGTGACTATTTTCGTCAAAAGTTAAGGGGTCAGGAGAATGGAAAACACAGAGCAGCTGTCTCAAAACTCCTCTTGGCTGTTGATGACATTTCAATCAATGGGGTCGAGAATCAAGACAAGCAAGAACCCGAACTGGTAATCGAACCATCCCCATCACGCTGTTGCCATTGTTTTCACTGCTGTTGAGGACCTTATAGGGCATGGGGAAAATTGTAGATAAAAATAATAAAGCACATTTTGAGGGATTATCGTCACATATTTTTTTTTTAATACTTATAGCCCACTCTAGGAACTTTTTACTCAGAATAGTTAAAATAAGGTCATATGTTCATAAAACTAAAATTGTTTGTTTACTCACTAGGCACTGGAAAAAAGAGGTATGTGAAGTAAGCTCTTTAGATGGACCTAGTGACGCTTCCCTGTGGGCCCCGTTGCCCCACCTTCCCATTTTGCAGCAGCTGATTTAGGGAACCAGTTGTTCTCAAATGGAAAACTTTAAAGAATCAGAGTTTAGGGGGTAGTGGTACCATAGTGACTGGTGGTAAGTGGATCGTGAAATTGTAAAAAGAATGTTTTCATTATTGAAAACCCATTATGCCTCCTCACAGTCGGTATGTTTTATAACAAGAGTGCTGGTGGGTTCTGTGTCTGTAAAGTCAACATGTGGTTGTCTTGAAATGCAACCTGTAGCTTTATTTTGAAAGCAGCAAAGTTTTTTAGAGTTCAGCAGTTTATTTGTATGTGTCTATATGGATAAATGTAGCTGCTATGCTTTACTCCCTTAATAAGTCCAACTTAAGTCACTAGCTCAGTGTTTCTTTACTTACACAGTACAGTGATGATGACGAAATCCATGGAGTGACACAAGGTGATAGACTGCGGGCCCTGAAAAGCAGAAGACAGTCAAAACCAAACGCTATTCCCCTCACGTGAGTCTGGTTTCCTTTGTGTGGTTGCTGTTATTTAATATGTATATGAAGTCCTTCATGAGCATTTTTTTCCTGTACGTTTTTCTCCATGGTCACATGCCCATTATGCCACTTCGCAATGGTTATTTACATTATTTAGAATCGAGGGGTGTTGCCCAGGAAGCTCTTGGCTGTCCTTTATCTCCGTCTTCTGTTGTAACCTCACCGGCCTGTACATAGGAAAGCAGTATTGGGAATGCTTTTTCTCCATGGATAAGCACCACGTGACATCCTCAGGAGAGTGGCAGCAGAGGTAAACCACAGAATAACACATTTGTCCATCGTTACTGAAATTGTGAATGTCCTTAAATTCACTACCATATTATAGACAGTTTGTTTGGATATGGTAGAATTTAATCAGTGATGACATGTGGCTTACTGTCCTATTATTTTAGGGCAATAATGAACTAGATTAAATAATAATTTTGTATTAATTTTTTGTTTGAGGAGTTACTCAAGTTACAGAAGAAGGTTTAGTATGGGGATAGGAAGTTTTATAGTTAGTATGTGTATGCCCACCTGTACTTGATTATGTAAGTGCTAGTTGGGATTCAACCTCATGGAACATCTAGGATCATTAGAAAAATATGTAGAATTTAAAGACTTGGCCATTGTACTTTTTTATAGTATATTCTTTAGTATATGCTTTCATTTATGCTGTTGGATTCCTTCCTTATAGTAACCTTCCTTTTCAATGTGGGGTACCACATTTCTGGTTATGTTTTTTTTTTCTTTTTTGGGGGTGGGGGATGGGGAGGGAGAGAGAGCATCTTAAGCAGGCTCCATGCCCAGTGTGGAGCCCAGCACAAGGCTCAGTCTCACAGCCCTGAGATCATGACCTGAGCTGAAATCAAGCATCAGACGCTTAACCGACTGAGCCGCCCAGGCACCCCTCCAGTTATGGTTTTTTCGTTTTTTTAATTTTTTTTGGTGATGGAGACATGTCATTTTGTTCAGTAATCATCTGTAATATGGTAAGGACCTAATGACATCATAAATGTTCATGGCAGAGAAGAACAGGCCTTCTTTTTAATTAACAGTGGTTCTTCACTGGCACCTCCTTGTTATCTAAAGTTCCAAAGTAGAGTTACACAGAAGGCATGTGTCTTCATGGGCCCCTGCTGTGGAACGTTCTTAAAAGACCCACGGAAAAGGATGACGTTACAAAGGGCCGTGTGAATGAGAAGTGTCAGTACGGATGATAGGCATTCACTAAGCCTTCTCAATAGTGTGGTGGTGGTGGTGCAGCACTTAACTGAGAAAGCTTTAAGAGTGGTGCATTTTATGTCCTTTATTTAACTCCAAATGCCATTTGATTTTAATTTCATAAGTCTTCATCTAAGGCCTTCATGGTTCTTTTTATTTAGAAATATTGTAGTCCCTTCAGATAATCCTTCTGAGGCCAGAGGAGGCATGATAGGGGTAGGTACTTCCCTAGAGCAGTGCTCAAACTTCACCGTGCGTTTGAGTCTCCTGGGAGCTTGTCAGAAAGCAGGTTATGGTTTTGGGCCTGGGGTGTGGTCTGTGACTGCAAGCTGCCAGGTATCGCACGCACTGCTGGTCCGGGGCTTTGAGTCACAAGCCCTAGGAAATGGGTGATTTGTGGGTTGCTTTTAGTTGTGCCCAGGTTTTTTGTTTTGTTTTTATGAATCTGCAGCATCAGTTTATTTCTCAAAAGCTTCTGATGAAAAGTCAAGTTGGGAGTTGTGATGGGAATTCTGCTTAGTCAAAAGTTCCTGTTATAAATAGGGCTTATAGGAAATTTCCTTCAGCAACTCTGAGTCTGCTACCTTGTGAATATGTGTTCCAGAGAGTTCACGTCACTTGCTGCCCTTTTCTACAGATGAGACGATAAAGGTCTCTTTCATAGCTGATGAGGTTTGTGGCAATATAAAATAAAACAATGAATGAAGCCTAAAATTCGAAATATTGTTGGAAACCAGAAGGCGACAGTAGATGTGATCACATTCACCTTGGTGTGTGAGGTGTCCCAGGGTGAAAGCTGAGTGGTCAGTGATGGCTGAAGGAGAGACCAGCCTCTGCTATCACTTATTACGGAGTTACACCCCACCTTACCCCCAGAAGGACATTGGCCTTTTTCTCTGAAGCATTTGGCGTAAGTTCTCAACCAAGGAAAATGGTGAAAGTTAAAAAAAGTAATAAAGCAAAGTTAAAAAAAAATAAAGCACTAGTTCAAGATCCCTTTAGTTGTAATTGTAATCTTAAAACCAGTAGAATAGCTCCCAAGCTGTCCCCCTCCCATACACAAAATTAAACTTTTAGGCCACACTTTTAAAGGAAAAAACAAAATGCTAAAATCCTTTTAAGCTCATAAGTGTAAAAACCTTGGGGAATTTTAGATTACTCTGGGTAGATTTCCCTCCCTCCTCCTCTACAACATTTTACTTATCCCTTCCTCTGCTTTTTCAGACCCTCCTTGCTGTTGGAATCCTCTCTTTTGCTCTTATGTGTAGTTCTTCTGGCCCTAGAAGAAGAGGTCAGTTGGGGATTGCCTTTCCTTCCCAAGTGGTGGTATTATTTTAGGAATAAAAGAGAGAGAGAGTTTTCAATAGCAGCTTGGGTTGAGAAATTTAAGTTCAGTCCCCACCTCCTGATGTTGACCCCTCTATCACTGTGGGTAACCTATTTTGCTTCACTATTGGTCCTTAGCCGAATGAGAAGACTTATAAGAAGGAAAGTTAGTGAAAAATATGTAAGTACTGGTGATTCTTAAGAGCAAGTTTATACTACTCAAAATAGCATTCCAATTATTGTTTCCTATTTTACAAACAGTATTTGGGGGAGAGTTAAAGTTGTTAGATACTGTAAGGTAGTGCTTTTCTCAGAGAGTCTGACTGATCCCGACTATCACGAAGACAGTAAATGGCTTTATTTATCCCGACTATCATGAAGACAGTAAATGATGTAGCACCGTGATGGCAAATATATTACTGTCTGTGCTAAAATAGATTTGGTAGATTTTATAACTTCATCCATGCTGCCTGGCTTTCTGCATACTGATCATTTCTGCTAGGTTTGTTAGGGTTAAATGAAATGGTGCATGAAGAGTCAAGGGTTCCCTACCTGGGAATAAGGTGAAAATACAGATCTAATTTGCTTTAAATCTCCCTGAACAGCACAGATGGATGGGTGTGCTCTCATCATTGGAAAATAATTCTTATGCCGTAAGCTTTCGTAGAAGAACAATGAAAAATCTGTGACGGAGACACTTGGATATTCAGACCATTCTGCCTTTAAGATCACTGTTAAATCAGTAACTGCAAATGAAACTTGGGGTGGATAGAGAGTCCTCTAGTGTTCCTGGGCCAGTTATTCTATTCTATTCTGTCTAAATACTAAGCCCCTGTAATCTTAACATATATTAGTAGATTTTTGTTTTTGTAGAACTAGTAAATGAGCTGGTGCCAGGTGTAACTTGCAGGGTGAGGTTAAATTTGATTTCAGGTCCATCCGTAGTGTGGTCCCTTGTCGTTAGATACCATATAGGGTACCTGTTCAGTGACTAAGATGACAAGGACACCGATAAAGATCACATAGTAAGCAAGACCAGTCATTTATGACTCGATCAGCACAGTACTTGCACAAAGCAAATGCTCAATAGAGCCTTTTATGTTTGGTCACAGATGTGTCCTAGTGACCATTTGGAAGTAGCTGGACAGAGTCACCACTCTTCAGACTGAGATTTTCTTCTTCACTGCCAAAAACGAGACCACTGGATTAGGAAATACTGAACTGAAAGCCAAGTTTGGCCACAAGAGGGAAATGAATAAGGAAAACAACTGAGGAAATTTATCTAATGTTGATATGTAGGGGAGATTTTCCCCATTTTGTGTTGCCCAGGGTTCAGTGTGCTTCTCTAGTCCTTATTTTCAGAGTATGCAGTTTGCCTTAACTCCTAGATGATCCGGTGTGGGACTGCGTTGAAATGAGATCAGTTCTGCTATGCTGTGTTCATTCATAATTGTGCCTCCAGTGAATCACTGTTAATGATCAGTCCAGGGTTTCTTGTTTGGCTGGTTTTCTCTCCTTTTCCTCTGATTTGGTTTAGTTTTCTGTGTGTGCATATCTTGTGCTTTTTGAAGAATTTCAATCCTGTAACTACAACTCTGGTTTCTGTATCATACAATTAAGTTAACTTGGGGCAGTTATCCAGCTAGAGATTGGGTCTAATCTTTCGTTACCAAATAGTAAATCAATTTAAAACTGAAGATAGCATTTTCTCCCCAACATAAAATGGCAAAACTCCATCCTTGTTTCCCACCCCTTTGTATCTATCACAGGGTGTCTAAAATTCACACGTGGCTTTATTTATTTATTATTTTATTTATTTTGGCTTCCCAATTTGAACATCTGTTCTTTCCCCTTCACCCCTTTCCAGATGTTCCCTAGCTGTGCTGACCTCTGCACTGTGTAGTGTTGTCATCTGGTGGATTGTTTGTGACTACATTCTTCCCATCCTGCTATTCTGTCTTGATGGTTTCAGAACACAGTAGCCGTCGGGACCCTTTGACCAATAGCTGCTGTGTAAGTGTCCCCTTCTATTTATGTGGTCACCTCTGGTGGACAGAGTGTTTCTCATGGTGCATGTTTTTCTCACTGTCAGCTCTCCTAGCTTTGTTGGTTTGCCTCTTTTCAAAGATTCTTTTTCTGAAACTTCTCAATTAATGGGATGGTGGTGGCGGAAGGTCTTCCCTGATCCTTTCCTATAGGGATATTAAAAATAATAAGTTTTGTTTTTAAATTGTGCTTACTCTTAATGCATTTTTTGAAATAACAATTTATAAAGTCACTGAAATAGTTTCTTTTCCCTATCAAAAATAGTTCAGGATAATTGGGGTGGTTTTCTTTCAGTCAGTTTCCTCTAATTTTCCAGAGTAAATATCTTCAGCATATCTTTTTCAATCTAGCAAAAAAGAATTTGCCCGGGGTGCCTGGGTGGCTCAGTCAGTTAAGCATCTGCCTTCGGCTCAGGTCATGGTCCCAGGGTCCTGGGATCAAGCCCCACATCGGGCTCTCTGCTCAGTGGGGAGCCTGCTTCTCCCTCTCCCTCTGCCTGCCGCTCCCCCTGCTTGTGCTCTCACTCTCTCTCTCTCTGTAAAATAAATAAATAAAATCTTAAAAAAAAAAAAAAAAAGAATCTGCCTGCTGCTTTTCTGCTGTTGGTAGAGATTTGCTTTTGCAACTAGTGAGTGTTGCATGGTGTTTCACCTCCAACTCTGCCGTTGGACACAGCGCTCTTAGCCGCAGCTGCTTCCCTGCTAAGTCTTCTGTCTTGAGTAAGCAGAATCTTCTCCTTGGCTTCATTTCACATCCTGCCCTGTAGGGAGGACAGTTAGTACAGTTTTCAAAAATGATGTTAAATGAAAATAGGACAGCAGAGAAGACTGGAGTCCCTTGTTTAGCCTCGTGTTTCTGCATGACCGTCGCTGTGCCTACTTCCTCCCACTTTCCTTTCCCAGAAGTAATCAAAACGCCCTTATTAGGTGAATATAGCAGATTTTGTATGCTCTTGATATCTTTCACCCTTAAACGAATACCTTAACAGTGAACAGACTTGTTCTGCAGTAGAATGTGGCAGGAAGCTTCCCCGGGGAACACCGTGCAGTTGCCACCGAGAGCGCAGGAAGGAGGGTGTGTCCTGCGAGACTGTGGTTCACCGCTACTCTCTTATGTCTAGGCTGCATTCTTTTTTCTCTGAAACTCTTCCCTTAGCTCATATTTCAAGAATTTATTCTCTTGTTCCAACTTGGACTTGGGAGTTGTAAAGGAATATGAAAGTTCCTTCTAGGATCTCCTCCAAAGTGGAATTCCATTGCAACCAACTCCCATACTTTGTGGCTTCATGGAGTATCTTCAGATGGCTAGAGAAGACTTAAAAATCCAGCAGACACTATTCTTTTCAAAGTTAAGGAAAGGCTGCTTACCATGTTCCTATTATGACATTTTCTTGAATATCTTATTAATACGAGTTTATTATTGCACAGATATGCAATATTTCTTATATAGATGATCTTTTTGTTTTTTTTTCCCTTTATTCCTCTTAGTAAGCTTAGATTTCTGCATGTTCTGACTCAAAGAGCATCGTGCATTGCATAGATTTATTCTCAAACTATTCTAAGTGGGGAAGGTATTTCGAATAGGTGGAATTCTAAACGGGTGGAGTCGTTGCTAATAATACTTAGGCGCTGTGTGGTTGTATTACTTTTCCCAGGGTAAGTTTAAAAATGGTTTGTATCAGACACCTTTCTTTTCAGCATTCTATGTAAGATATAATTTTTTTTTATTGTTACTACTGATGTTTGCCATTGCGTTTGTAGACCCAAAGCAGAGTATTCCGTTTAGCTTGCCTGATTAATTTGGGATTTACAGAAACAAAAGCCTTCAGCAGTAATGATGTAAACAGGTGTAATCCTTGTAGTTATCTTTTGAGGGGACTACTTACGGGCACTGTGGTCGGTGTTTGCCTCTGTTGTGATGACCTAGCGTGGCCTGATAGGTTGTTACCTGGCACGCCTGGTAATCAGACTATCCCACACCTCAGGTGGCTGCATCAGATTCTGGCAAAGCTGTGTCTGAAGCTTGTAGGGCCTCAGGCCCATCACTTTGAAAGCTTATTTTGTGTCGGGGGATAACCAAGTGTAAATAGTACATAGTCGCACTGATGGATTCTTTTCTTGGAATTGAACATTTATGTTCAAGCATTTTGTAGTTTGAGAGGGAAGAGAGCTGGCTTGTCAGTTACTTGCTTTGCTGGATACGTCAAGTTGCAAGTCTCAGTCTGGGAATACTGGATCTCAAAAGAGGCTGCAAAGAAGGTGAACTGTTGTATGGGCAAGACATTAAAAAGTAGGACTGCGGATTCCGCCAGGGAAAGATGGAAAGGAATTTACAGAAACAAAAGCCTTCCGCAGTGGCAATGGTGTAAACAGGTATAATCCTTGTAGTTATCTTTTGAGGGGACTACTATGGGCACCGGGAAAGGAGAAAATACGTATGTAGGATACTGCTCTGCAAAGCCATGTGATCGGCCTGGGTTGCACAAGGTGAGAAGTAGTGGGCTCCCACATACCCTGTGGCAGAGTGAATGCGTCACCAAATCTGCCGGCTTCTGCCACCTTATGTATGGTGTGGTGGGTAGTTTATCACAGGTAATAATCTTAAGTATAGTTGCTGGGGGTTTTTCCAGTTTATTGATGCATAGCCTACAGATAGAGTAATTGCTCTGTTGTTAATGCAAATAACTAGTGACCTAATCTCTACTGGTGTGATTAATGCATTCCAAATTTCTATCATGCTTTTATTTTCAAAAAATCCACATGAATTATTTACATTAGTTTTATAGAGAAAGAAATCCTTTTTAAAAGATGTTTCCCGTCAGCCTGAAATTTGATTTAGCAGCGATTTCGTTTTTCAAATAGTAAATATTTCGGTAGTAGTTAAGAAATCACGATTTAAATTTCCTAAAGCCAAGTAATATATTGGCTCTTGTTTTTATTCTCATGTTAATGATTTTACAGTGTGGTGATTGTCTATACTTTCTCGGCCGTAAGTGGCCTCAAATTATTTGGGAAGTTGGTGTGGTATTTCCAAAAAGCCAACAGGAGTCTCATTTTCTCTCTTTGGATAAATGGAGATAAAACCCAGGAGCCTCGCGGAGCAGACGCGAAGCAGGTGTGAGGCTTCTGGACCACAGTGGCAGCCCCTCACGCTGGGCCTGGGCTTCAGAAATAGCGGTGAAGTTTGGTGGTGGTTTTGTTTTTCTTTATGAAAAATTCTATATTCAAATCCTGTTAACAGAGACCATTAAATATTCTCCTGTCCCTCCCCACCCCATTTGATATGATCAGAAAGATTTTTAAATCCTTGTTTTCAGAGGTAGAATTCATATACCAGGGCAATCGGTTGCCTTCTTTGATCAAACACCTGTCTGCATATACCTTTTCTATGTTGTTAGAATGATAAAACTTTGTGAGAAATCCTGAGGCAAGCATTGGCTCATTTACCCAGGATCCGTTTCCCTCTGAGACCGAAGGCCTGTTTCATAGGCTTTGAGAAATACTATGGGGATGAAGCAAAACAGCTGAGAGAGCAGCCCACCCCCCTCCCCAAACAGCTTGGAAACCGCAGGCCTCCAGCCGCAGCTCTGGTACATGGCTACCCGTTGCTTTTTTTAGTGATGAGAAGTTAAGCATTTTACTAAATGCTGAATATACTGTGGTTTGGGTAATACTAAGAATTTACTGATCTTCTCTACAGTTCAAGGCCCTGGCTTTGGTTATTAATTAACATGGCAGTAACTTGGGCTTAGGAAGTAGGACTCCGAGTTAGTTGTAATGGTTTCTGTTTACTCTCACGAGCTGGGTCCTCCTAAGTTGTTACCGGCTCTCACTTTTGTTTGGACAGGAGAGGAGGAAGCTTATTTTTAAGGCAGTGTTTTCTCTTACAGATAAATAAAAGTTGAGTATATATAAATGTGTGTGTATGCAGTTCAGCATTTTGGTCATTATCTGTTGAAGAAGAGAATTGCACATAAAATCTTTTGATGTTTTCTGCTGTTTTCCCTATGACCATTCATTGAGGAATTACAAAACACCCTCTACTTTTGAGCAAGGTACTTTATGTGGGCTTTATCTGAGGGTGTTCTTTTGACTCATGAATTTGCCTCCTGGGCAACCTACACCCATAGGCATCAGTTCCTTGGGATTATTTTAGAGTTTAAATCAAGTTTCACAAAATTTAAACAGTTTTGCTTTCATGTTAATGGTACGTAGTGATTTAGTAAATAGTTATAACCCAGACGAAATTCAAATTTTGCTTGAATATATTTTTTAAATTTGAAATGTTATATAAAATTGGTATGATTTGGGGTTTATTGCCCATACTTTCACTTCTGAAGAGCGACTATTTTATAGATTTTTGTATTCATATTCTTCAGAATTTGGGGTTTTTAAATGATTTCTTGCTTTCATGACTAGAAATCTGAGAATCTACTTTTACTTTGGGGAACAATTTGTTTTATTGATTGATTTCTTTGGTGTGGGAATTGCTTAAAATGCCAGGTCATTTGTTTTCTAAAAGCAAAGTATATTCTAGTTATCTTTGTATAACCTTCATGGGGAAATGAAAAAGACTTTGATGTGAAAATGTGTTTCAGATTTTTTTGGCAAATGTGTTTATGGAAAATCCTATCAATTCTCAATAAAATAATTTGCACTAAAGTGCAAAGATGCCTTCCTCCGTCAAGTATTTGAAAATTGTTTCAGTGAATATAATCTTATTTTTTTCCAACTGTTTTCAGAGTAATTCTTCAGTCCAGTGTTCAGAGCTGTAAAACATCTGAACCTAACATTTCTGGCAGTGCAGGCATTACTAAAAGAACTACCAGATCTGCTTCAAGAAAAAGCAGTTTTAAAAGGTGAGAAAAGAATCCTACTCTTCTGAAAAGTTCTAAGCATTGGTTTTCCAGTTTAATCTTCTGGAGATAGAAATGAAGAGAGGAAGAGAGGAGAAAGCAGAGACACTGTGATAGGAAGTTAATCAAATGTGTTTGACTTGTTCATCATCTAAGAAAATCTGGGCCATTGCTAATGTAGTGTTTGTTTTGTTTTGTTTTTCAGAGGTGGTTCTCAACACTGGAAATGTGGTCTCGGGGTCAGAATATGGGGAAGTTGAGAGGGTTGTACTTATAAGCTCTTGAATTTCCAAAGCTCTCTGTCAGGACTCGGAGGAAATTTTTCTGTATGTCAGATGCAGCATAATTGGAGGATTAGCTGCAAATAAGTGTGATGGTGGGATAGGAGAACTCCAATGAATTTGGAATCCTTGTTTACCTAGGGCCTGGTCTCTTGGCCACAGTGCACACCCAGGGGTTCATGCTTTCACCCGGAGCCCAGCATCTTCCTTCCCTTCGTTATTACAGGCTATGACAAGAAAATGCACATGTTCCATGACCAAATCCATTACTCACTGCTGTTTTGGGATGTTTATCATGAACTGAAAGCAGACATTTCATTTCTAACCCATTCCAGAAGCAGTCCCCTTTTGAGGGAAGAGCAGATAACCTGCTTACTGTCCTCTTGGGGGGGGGGGAGGCGGGCACCTTTTTGTGTTTGTGTATCTTTGCCTGGTGTCGACAACACGTGCGGTCCTGTGCCCACGGCCCAGCGCCTCCCTTACAATAGACCACCAGCGGCCTGAAGATAGTCTGAACCAGACTTTAAAGCATCCTTCACGATTTTCCTTGCTTCTTTTTAACTTCCTGCCCTCATATCCTTGACGCTATGGGACGGCTGAGTTGGTCTCTAGGGCAGGTCCCAGCAGCCTGTGTCCTGAGGGACTTGCTACAAACCAGAGAGCTCTGTGTCTGTGTGTGTGTGTGTGTTGTTGTTTTTTAAGGAATTGTTCGGTTCTGCCATTTCCCCCTCTTTGCTGATTTTTTCATTATGATTTTTACTACATATGTTTACTTACACAAGAATGTGATAGTGCCTTAGTACAAGTAAAGTTGAGGACACCAACTCATAATTTGGGGGATTTTGAAGTTTTCATAGAAAGGTATCAAATATTCATAAATTTTTTACTCTGATTTCATTTGAGAAGAATATCAGAAATACTGACAAAAAGTCAAAGATTTAGGTACATTATAACATAATACCAGTATAGTATTTATAACCGTGAGGAAGAGGAGATGGGCTAAAGATTGTTGAATTATGCCAAATGAATCAAGAGTCATGTTTTTAAAGAAAACTGAATGGCCTGGATAAATGCTCATGAAGCAGTAGGTGAAAAGAGCTACACATAAAAATTATGAAGTATTACTCTAATTTTGTAAATGTACAGTAAACTTCATAGAAATGTATACATCTACAAATATATGTATGTGTTTATACATCTATTTATGTATAATATGTAAGTTTGTGTATATTATACATATATTTAAATATTTATATATACATACATTTCTATGCATGTATGGAAATAAGGTGACCGAAAAATACGCTGTAATATTAACAGTTCTTCTAGTTGTTAGGACAGTTAGGGAGTTTTACTTTTTTTTTTTTTAATATTTTTTTTTTAAAGATTTTATTTATTTATTTGAGACAGAATGAGAGAGAGAGAGCACATGAGAGGGGGGAGGGTCAGAGGGAGAAGCAGGCTCCCTGACGAGCAGGGAGCCCGATGCGGGACTCGATCCCGGGACTCCAGGATCATGACCTGAGCCGAAGGCAGTCGCTTAACCAACTGAGCCACCCAGGCGCCCCGGGAGTTTTACTTTTTTATCATTTTCTTTTTCTCCAACTTTTTACAATAAGTAGGGGGAAATGGGAGCATTTTAACTTTGACACTTTTAGGTGAATTAAACTATTAAAAATTCAAATAAAAAGCCTGCTGTTGGGGATAGTTAGACATGTCTTGAATGAACTTTTTTTTTTTTAGGTATAATTACTCAGGCTTCCATTACAGTTGAGTGTGTCTTGCACATTTAATTCTGCTTCTGCTTTTCTGGATTGTGCTCTTCAGGCTACAGAGGAATAGAGTCCAGGAGCTAGGACCACGCATGCCCAGTCACACCGTGTTCCTCTGAGGGGCGTGGCCACACGGCAGTTTTTCCATCTAGGTCTTGTCTAGTGATCTAAACTTGTGCTTCTCAGCAGAGGTGGTTCCTGGTTGCAGTGAGCATCTGCCTGAGGTCCCTGGACCAGATGCTCTGAGGGGTTGAAAGTAGAGTTCAGACTGAATACACTTGACTGAATTTTGAAATGGCGCAAAGCAGTTTTCAAGCATTTGGGATAGTGCCAAAAACCAAAAGGCTTCTTTTCAATTCTCAGAACGGACTTTCAGAGATTGGGAAGGGCGAAGAAATAAACCAGTGAGAGAGAATTGGGTTTCAAGTGTGTTTCCCACCTCCCTTCATGCAGGGTCTCCTTGGCCTCTTTCGGGTCTTTGGCCTATGTTCACATCACCTTAACTGTGAGCCACCCACCGCTCATGAAACGTAGCCAAGTCCATTAGGTACAGGTCCCATTTCCTGCTTCTAGGAAGTAGTGGGAGTTGAGGTAGCCAAGCTGTAGCCTGAAGCATTTATCGTACTGAATAGTATTCATTTTTGGTTGGAGGGTACTGAGGGAATTAACACATTTGTGCATAGTCTGATTCAGGACAAAATAATATAAGATTGTGGAATAATTGTGAAGTTTTGAATAGAAAACTTTGGTTTAGACAGCAATACAAGGAAATGAAATAGTACACCTTTCAGTATAAAATAAATGCCTCCAAGGCGCCAGGGTTGCCTATCTGCTGCTCCCCCCCGCCACCTGTGAAGCCTTCTCTTTGTAGGTTGATGTTCACACATCATCGTCATCGTCATATCTGTCCTTCCACGGGAACTTGACCTTGCATGCCCATGTTCTAGTCTCTTCTTAGAGGCTTCCGGGATGAAGACCTCACCTAAGCTCACTTTCCACTGATTTGGCTCTTCTGATTTTTGACAGTTTACTGAGAGGCTGTACAACTTGGGACAGCTTTTCCACAAACACATTAAAAGAGTAATTATTTGGAGGCTGAAAAACGATGTGTTGTCATAAGTCTTTGTTTCTGGGAAGAAATGCCACCATGTTTCTCTCGTCACAGATGATCATTCCTTCATGTATCCATGAAACATAAGCCTCATCTGAACCTGACTCCCAGGTGCCACGCTCTGCTCTGGCCCAGTGTGCAGTTCAGGCCCGGAGCACTGGAGTGTCTGGTGGTGGACGGGGCACACTGACCCTTAGGGCCGAGAGGGTTCTGTGTGGCACCTTCCTCATCCCTTTGCTCACATCCGAATAAGTAAATCAATGGGTTTCCACTCCTCCCAGTTCCTGTTAGAGCTATAAATCATTCTGCTGTTTCTCTTTTAAGAATGATTAAATCCAGTGGAGAATTGGCCTCTTTCTTAACTCGCTGATGAGCTCTCTTAGAGTCTTGAAAATCCCATCATTGTGCCTCTGATTGAGGACCTGCAGCCACCTCACCTCATGGGATACCGTTCAATTCAGTTCATGTCTTGACACAACTTACCACTGAGTGCATGTTTCTGTAAGCTTGTGCTGTTTCTTTGGAGGAGTCTATCTTTTTTTCTTTCCTTCTTTTTTAAAACAATAACTTCATTTTCTAAGAAAATGGTCATAGACGAGTGATTTTTTTTATTCCAAGTTATGTCATTGGGAACCATCACTTTCTGTCCCCCTATCAAACCAACCTAATGTTCATGGCTTCTGGGGTATTTTGCACCTAATGATTCCTATTGTGGGGGAAGAAAAATGCTCAGGGTGCCTTCCTTGGCCTCTGAAAACGTGAGTGTCTTCATGAGCCCTTCTGTTGGGAGTACTACATTCAGGACTTCTTTGGCTTTTTCAGGCTTCTCATTTGTGACTTTCGTCATCCTCATGTCTGCCACTGCTTCTTGTCCCTTACAGTCTCAGATCTCAGTGTCCATTCCACCACCTCGAGGCTCCCGACTTTCCGTTACTGCTATTATCTCTGAAAATACCTCCGTCTCAGAAGCCCCAGAATGTTGTCCCTAAACATCCCTTTTTAAAAAAAAATGCCGGTTTCCTCTGATCTTCTAAACTACTGATTTCCCTTTGAAATTCCAGACATTTTCCCACTGGGCTGCACCAGTTGACCTGGAGCCTTACGTAAACTCAGTATTCTGCTGGGGTCTCCAGAAACTAAGTGGTGGGTTCTGGGGAGCTTGCTCCTCTCCGAGAGCACCTGCATCGCTCGGTCAGGGGCGCCTCCGTACGAGAACTGGCTTCTCGGACTCTTTTCTTTTGCTTCCTTTCTCCTCTGAAAGTTGCTGTTGAGTTGAAACTTGACAGGAGGAACGGGGACAGGAAGGAGGGAGGCAGGGTGAGAACCCGTGCAGGTCAGTCTCGAACCAGGGGCCGGCAGCGCGGTCCGTGCACTGCTGCACCAGAAACTGCTTGAGGTGCCGGAGCTTTTCTGTGGCCGAGTTCTGGCTTTGGAAATAATCAAGTAACACTTCTTTATCTTTTCACTCTTTCCACCTTTCCCACAGCCTGGTTCCTCAGAGGGAAGGAAGGAAAAGGAACGCTTTGCAGCAAATGCCCGTAATGGCATTATGGTACTCGCGTTGCTCTGCCGCTTCTGCCCGCCCTCCCTGTCTTCTCTGTTTTTATCTTTTTTTTTTTATTTTTTGCAGAACTGAACCTTTTTCTGCTCTGCCTTTCTCTCCCATTTGTCTTTACTTTACGGTTGATATTGTACTGTCTTAAAATACTTGTCATTAAAGAATTGCACAAAGCGTATACTTTCTAGCATGTCACTACTTCTCTTATGTTGCCTTCCTTGTCTTTTGGTAACTACATATGGGACACTTGGAAACCTTCATGGTAAAATCCTTTTTTTTCTCCCCCTGTAGTCCCTCCATTTCAAGGACTAAAACAGTCTTGCGTTAAGTAAAAACCTGTGACCAGAACTGAAGGAAGACTCTAGGAACAGAAAACTACAGCAGGACTTAGCACAAATTTATTTGGAAACAAAACAAAATTGCAAAAGCCTTAGCTGCTTTCCACCTAAGAAGTTGATTCAATGAAGACAGTGTCCACTGGAGTTTAAATAACTACATGAGTTTGGGCACAAGCAGTGACTTGAAGAAGGCCCGCTCTCCTTTGGTAGAAACGTCTCAAGTTTAACGACAAAAAAGCCGTTGTAAGTTTAGTCTCAGGTGTAAATATGAAAGCCGTCTGGTGTCGGAAGAGCTGACTCGCCGGTGTGGTGCACGTGTGTCCCTGTGATGGCAATCATTCTAGCTGCTGGCCTTCAGAGGAAGTGAGGATCTGATGGAGGTTTTTTACGTATTTATTTTCTGTTCACCCTGTGTCAAAATTTATAAAGAGAAAACAGGCATTACTGAAATGGTACTCTCTGTAATTTGATACTATTTGGTTTAACCATCTTCACTTTAATATTTGTAACATTGTTGTAACAGTAACTCTGTTAAGTACCCAAGCTGCTTGTCTTCCACCAAAGAGTGCTTTATTAACAAGAACCTGTGAAAACCCTGTTTGAAGACTGTTGGATGTTGTGATACAAAGTGGTACTTTGGCAACCTAAACTGGTAAGACAATAAGAGTGGTAGCTCTAGAAGACTCGGGAGGGGAAGCTGGCTGCAGAGTTGGAATATTGTGGGAAGTCATTCCTCTTCGTGTCACTGAGGGACTGGAGGATGCCGAGGCTGCCCACTGTTTGGTTGCCTGGTCATACAAATTAAAATCCTATTTCCTTCCACACATGATTTAAAAACAAAACAAAACAAAACACTGTTGGTGTTTCCCTTGGAAATAGCCATCGCAAATAATGGTGGCTTTAAAAAAAAAAGGTACTGCTTTATTAGGGTCTTTCTCTGTAGCATTGTGGATTTCTTTTTTTTATGTGATCAGCCTAAGACCATTCACACACCCTTTGACTTCAGTGACAGTTATTCGCATCTGGATTTCAGTTGTTTGTAAATAAGAGACTCACTGTTGCCTTTGGTTAGGGAATACAACTAACTCTTTGCAGAGTGCCTTCACCCCCCACCCTACAGAAACACAGCAGAGTCTGTGATATAAAGCAATCACAAAAAAAAACAATTTATTTGCTGCTAAAACAAAAAAAAGGGGGGGGCCCAAAATATAAGAATATTTTGCAGTCACTTTGGTTACCTCCATTAATAAGAAGTGAATGGTTTTAGTTATTGTTAACCAATTCTTGCCTATCCTGGTTTGGAGAATGGGTACAATATGGAAAGGCTAGAGAAGGCAAATGCCTTCACATTACAAGATGAATGAGCCAGGTGAGCAGGCAATTCCATTTTAAAAAGCTGCCTTTTTAACAAAACTATGAGTGGTAAGAAGCGGTTGGAATAAACAGATTAAAGTCTGCTAATACAGAATTCCAGTTAAAGTTACTGGAAGGCCATGGCTCCATTTTGATATTTGCTCTCTTGGAGTAAATTAGAAGGTTGACTGGTGGTGATGGCAGGTGCCACCTTCTTGGTCAGACAAGCGCTCTTCCCCATCAGGTGTAACGGGTGGGTTGTGCCGGCTTTTAAACACGGGACTAGATCGCAGAAAAAAAGGTGGTTTTCTATCCCTGGAAGTGAAGACATACAAAGACCCACTTCCCCGACGGGAAGAGCCCTCTTCACTAAGCTCTGGGTGGGAGAAGAAACATTCCATCTGCTGTCTAGGAGACAATACTGAGTATTCAGACTGTGCCCTTGCATAAAACATTGAATTCTCAGGGCAATTCTTCTTCCCTTGACAATTTTAAAGGCCATCTCCTGCATAAATCATCCAGGTAGTTATGAAAATCAAACTTCCATCTGAACTGTCCCTGGTTTGGCTTTTTATTACATCAGAACAAGTTAAATGTGCTGTCTCCCTCACAGTGAATAAGCCATTTGGTGTCTTGGCCAAGAGTGAAAAATCTGGGCTTCAGTGTTAACCACAGTACTTTTTATTTTACAAATTGCCTTTTTGTGTTGGCTGCTCAAGTTTCCAGCTAGCATTGCTGTTACTGTGGCTCCTTCTAAAAAATCCTCATGTTTGACAGGCCCACTGAAATGAGTCATAGGAAACTAGTGGTTTGATAAAGGAGCGTCCGTGGACCGTACCAGGGAGTTGGGAGGGTGCCTTTCAGGCGGGTTTGATGGCACACCAGTCAGCCTCCCGGGGGCACATGGAGAATCCGGGAAGTCTCGGGTCTGACTGATGGAAAGCTCTTCCTGCTGTGAATAAGAGGGGACTCTTTTTTTCCCCACAGGAAACTTCACCACAGCCAGAATCTTCTGAGATTCTAACTTCCTTGTCCAAGAGAGACCCTGTTGCTAGGGAATATGAAATAGGGCACGTCAGATGGAGAGATTCCTTTAAACTTAAGAGCCTGAAATAGCTTTGAAAGGACACCGAGACGGTTTCCAATGGGATTAAAATTAGAAATGAATATTTTTAGGTGTTCTTGAAGCTTTTGGGGGACTCACGTCCAAAGTCAGAGACAGTCCAAAGAAAGGGTGTCTGCAAAGCTGGGTATCTAGAAGTATAGACAGACTTCTGTTTTGTAATGCTGAAGGAAAACTAGACCCTCTCTTAGCTGTCGGTGCAGAGGGGTAAGACCTGAGCAGTGCCTCACTAAAACAAGCAGCCTTCCTTGTCCGAGTAGCCGCTTCTAGGCGGCACGCCGCTCTTCTCTTCTAACCTTGGCCCCATTAGTCTGTCACCCACCCACTCCCTCTCGTCCCTCCTCCCCTCTCACAGGGGTGACTTCTACCTCTTTTCTTGGGCCCAGACATTTTTTAGAGGAGTTCCCAAGTGTTCTCCTGAGGCGAACGTGCTTGCCGTTGGAGCCTGATGGCCGGTTCGGCGCGCCCCGCGGACCACAGGCGTTCTGGGAGGTGTTGCGCCAAGAGCTCCTGGAGGCTTTCCTTTGCTTGAATCACCACCATTCATGACAAATGAGCAGTGCGCTCTTTTGGTGTTTGTGCTAAAAGTAGCTTAACTGTTTCTCTTCATACATTTTTAAAAGTAATTATTGCATTTTGGAAAGCAGTGCTCATCAAAGACAACTTTAAAAACCCATTTTAATTCTTTATTAGTTCTCTCCTGCTAAAACTGTCCTGGTAAGGCTAGCTGCTGCTTTTCCATTTCTCCTCAATCTGAGTATTCCTCATGTCGCTAAGTGGAAATACTACAGATACGTTTAAAAGACTGGACAATCCACCTATACTGTGTAGGAAATTACCTCCTTAACTGCCCAGTAGAATTAACTGTCAGCAGCAGATAAGTTCATCTGATTATAGTACTGCAGTTTTATATTAATAATTTGCAGACTTTTATCTAACCTGCACTCATGTACAGATTATTAAAAGTTTTAAAATGTAACTGATTAATCAGTATTTGATCAATCATTGTTTTGATTTTTTTATTAAAATGTATATTTCTAATCATATTTTATAAAAGCCAAGAGAACTGGTTGAATGAATGTTTATTTTCCTGAAGGTATTTTTAAGATAAAGCTTCATAATGGCCTGTAAACTTTGCATATCTATGTAGTTTGATATGTATTGTTGAGTTTGAAAATCTTGTGTATTGTAACTGGTTTTATACAAAATATTAAATAGTGAAAATTGTATAATTATAATCATATAATTAAAAGTATTAACCAAACAGCCTTTCGGTTTATTGTATTCACTTACCATTCTGAATCATGGTAGGCAGTGGTCAAAATATAAAGTGGATATAACCTTCTGTATTAGTTTGCTAGACTGGGTAGCTGAAACGATGTATTTTCTTCCACTTCTGTGGCTGGAAGTCCAAGCTCAAGGTGTTGGTAGGGTTGGTGTCTTCTGATGATGCCTCTGCCCTTGGGCTTTTCTCTGTGCACTCCAGTCCCTGGTGTCCTTCTGTCTGTCCTCCTCTCCTTTCCCTGTGACACTAGTCTAGATTGGAGTAGGGTCCGTCCTAATGGCCTCATTTTAACAAATCACCTCTTAAAAGGCCCGTCTCCAAGTACAGTCACATTCTGAGGCACTAGGGGTTAGGGCTTCATCTTAACTTGTGGGATACACCTTCCTTCAGATGAGATAGTAAGGGGCTCCTGTTACGAAGTCCTTCTAGACACACCCACCACTAGCTCAAGTTATGCGAAGTTTTGACTGGAGAACTTTCTGAGGATAAGACACACAAAAACCAGGCCCCTTGGAGTCTTGTGGGTTGTAGAATGTACTCCCCTCACGTTCCCTGCCAAGGTCAGGATCAAAGAGCTAAGCGAGGGGCAGGACCAACACTAAGGCACCCCCATTCTGATGTCCAAGCCTGGACGCCATCACAAAGCCATCTACCTGCCTCCCCTCCGCCTGTCTCTTGCTGGCCTGGACCCTGAAGACCTGATGCCCACACCATCACGCAGAGGTTGTGTCTGGGATGGAGGAGCTTATTCTGTTAGGAGTGCTGTCCCGTTCCCCAAAGAACTCAGCTTTGATTCATGCTAGGGTACAGGTTTTCAAAGGACAAACCACAGGGACCTGCCTTCCCCCTCCCCATCCAAACGCCCACCAGGCACTGCTACCCACCCCACCCCCACAGTGTGAGACTCGCAGGCTCTGTCCTCTGCTGAAAGCCACAGTATCTACCTGCCCCTCCGTGGTCTGCGCTGAGGCCAACACTGGGTTGTGCGCCCTCCTGCCGACAGCCGAAGCTCGGCTGATCGGCACGGGCCAGGCTGCCCAAAGTCCGCGGTGCTGTGAAGGGGGCAGGCTTGGCCCCTGTAAGACTCGCAGTGAAACCCCAAGTCGCAGCTTCCAGGGCCGTGCAGTGTGGGCGATGAGCCACGGAGACCCAGGCCCTGCAAATTCTCGCTCTCCTCTGTGGTCAACAAACTGGTGGCACGTACCACACAGACGATTTGCTAAACCCCTCTGCTTCTGTTTCTTAAGTAAAATGGGAAGAAGAGCAATTCCTATCTTAACAATTGGTAGGAGAGTGAAATGAGATAATCCATGCAAAGTAAAACGATGCTGGCACATAGCTTTCAATAAATTAATTTTTTTCATACATTTAAGGTGATTTTCTGTAGGTAATTAGCTAACGAAAGATTGTGATCGATTCGGATCCCTCCATGTCTGGTATTTTTGGTGCCTTATCACAGGTCCTAGTGCCGGCACAGAGCGTCCCATCCGTTGACTGCTTCCTTTCCCTCCCCGTGTGTCTGAGTGCGGTGGTGGTGCTTGCGAAGCTGGGGGGGGGGTCCCCACGAGCGGGACATGGAACACCCCACCTCAGCGGTCCGTCTCCCTGGTGCCCACGGGGGTCGCCGCTCACCTTTTGCTAGCACAGCGCTGCCCACACGTTCTTCCCTGCAATTCTTCCTGGGTGGTGCTGCCGATTTCCTTAGGATAAATTCTTCCCAAAGCCATTTCTACTGGCTGGAGAATGTGCAGAAATGTAAAGCTTTTGTTGCTGTACACTCTGTCAAAAAGCAGCTTGGTATAATGGTTCAGAGCATGGATTCTGGACCCAGGCTGGGTGCAAATGTTTGCTGCTTATTAGCTGTGTCATCTGGGCCAGGATGACGGTCGTATGAGGATTAAATGGGTTAATATTTGTTAATTAGAACAAGTGCCTGGCATGTACCAAGAGCCATACATATATTGTTTAATAAGAAAAGCATACTGCCTTAATGCTCTCCCTAAGGTCTGTGACCGGTGCGCCCGCTGTATTCCCTCCCTTAGCAGCAGTTGCAGGCCCTGCCCAGGTAGCTAATGACGAGCGGGACACTGGGCTCAGTGCTAGTGGTCCCGGGGCACATCCACATGTTCCTGCCCCATTGCTTGGATTTGGGGTCTTTTGTCTTCTAAGTAGTCGGCACCGTATGTGCCTATCACAGTCTCACTATTTTTCTCCGCTTATCGGGGGGACAAATGGACCCTTCCGAGAGCCTCGGCAGACACCCCTCGCTTCTTCACCGGGGGTGCTGGCCCAGGCCCTGTAGGAACGCGGAGCTGCGCACGCGGCCTGGCCTTGTCTCTCTAACTGTGTCTCATCTCTTTGCCAGCAAGTCTGCATGGCTTTGACATGCTCCTGGATGACGGGTGCTCCATCCACACTGAAATGCCCAGGTAAGGAGGCCTCTCGGCCCGCAAGGCCAGACCCCATGTCGGCTGCCATCACCAGGGACTGGCCTTGGCCCCTCGGATTCTCACACTGGCCAAGTGTCCTGTTTTTAGGCGGGGAGAGGCTTTGGGTGGGAAAGGAAAGACTGGAGGAGGTAGTATGGTTTGTGCATTCTTTTAGTTGGAGAAACAATGGTTGCTTCTCATCATGGCTGTGTTTCTTCGTATAAAACAAGATGCCTTTTCAGGCGGGACAGTTCTTGAGTAGGACTCTCCGGAGAATGCAGCCAGTCTGGCATCCGCACCCACTAAATGCCAGTCATATTCGCAGCCATTGGATAGCCCAGACACCCTGGCACATTTTCAGCCGCCTTCAGGAGGCGGTGCTGCCCCCAGCTGGGAGCTGCCGATGAGCTTCCCTGGGCAGTGTCGTGGGAACAGGAGCGGCCGCGCTTACGCCCTGTTCTGCTCTGGCCCGAGCCCCCATGGGCAGAAGAAGGGGCCGGAGGAACGGCTTCACTTATTGAGGAGGCGGCAGGGGGCTCAGTCCTCAGGAATGGGGCTCATGAGGATTTGTGAGACAGACTGGGAGGGGGGGCTCGAGACGGTGCACAAACCGCCTTCCTGCCTGGCCCTGGCTTATCCCCTGCCGTGTGGCAGACACCGAGAGACTGTCTCCATCCCTGAGAGTGAGGGGTCTGTTGTGACCGGGCCGGATGCCACGCAGGAGCACTGCAGGCAGGCCAGTGGCTGGCAGGTTCTCAGGACAGGACAGGACAGGACAGGGCAGGGCCTTGATCACCACCCTGGACCCCTCTTGTTCAGGTGGGTCTGCTCCGGCCAACCCCAGTTTGCCTTGCAGTTGCCCGGAGAGTTCAGGGCATGCACTGTGGAGTCTCTTCTCCAGCTGGCGTATTAAACCAGTCCTTGCCACCCCCAGTGAGCCCCTAAGACAGGTTCCAGTGTCATAAATACAACTCTGTCCATCTCCTCCCTTTTCCAGCGATAGTTGGCTGTCTCGAGCTGGAACCTTTCTAGACCGGCTTTTAATCTGGCTTGGGATTCGCCAGGACTAGACCTCCCAAGAGGATCTCTCCCGGACAGCACAGTGCTCACCAATGGAAATTCTCTCCACGTGCAGTTTCAGCCTGTTTACTCGAGCGTGTGCCTCAGCCTCGCAAGCGTGTGTGTCCGCTTCCTCCACTGGGTATCGAGGTTTCAGGCCGGGGCTAGAGCTGGGCGTGCCAGTGGGTGACCTGGACGGACGACCGGGATGGGAAGGGGCCAGGTTGGCTCCCTCTCTGGGCGCAGTTCAATCCCGAGCCCCCAGTAAATAGTCTCTTGGACCTTTCTTACACTAGGGGCCGCAGTGACTTACCTGATGGAAGCTGGTCTGTCTCCCCAGAACAGTGACTACCCAGAGTGTTTGAGTTCAGAGCTAGGCCCCGTGGGGCCTCACGGCTGTGCACCCTCCCGCCACAGGAGCGCTGCTCGTTCAGGTGCAGTGCGACCCTCCGCGCCAGTCCCTCCAAGCCTCACTCTGGGCATCTGCAGATCCTTGGTGAAAATCCCCGAGGGGTGTCCTTCCACCCTGGTTCCCGGGCCCCGGCCGGTCACCACGGCCCTCACCAGGCCGAGCAGCCTCCTCGTTTCTCCTGCCCCCCTTCTGCCCACCCTGCTTTCCCTCTTCCCGAAAACTGCTCCAGGGGCCCCGCTCACGGCCACCGGGCTCTCCCTCACCGCGGAACGGGCCAGCGCGGAGCGTTTTGCGTTGCCGAGAGCGTAGGACTTACCGCAGGTACTTTGGTGGTTTCCTGCCTGTGGCCCAGGTGCGGCCAGCTCTAGACAGGCCAAGTGCGCACCAGGGCCACTGACGTGGTTGTGTGCGTGTGCCATCGCGGGGGGCGAGCTCCCCCGGTCGGGCAACACACACGTGGGGGCAGGTGTTCTCCGTGACCCCGGCGGGATGGCTGTTCCCGAGGGAAGCTCTTACCTCATTTTCTGAGACCATGAGAGAACCATGGGAGCTCCAGGGAGACTAACGTGCATCGGCACCGCTCTAATCGCGTATGACAGGCACCCCCACTTACAGATGACTGCGCTCCCAAGTCGGCCCTCAAATGGGGCCACGTTTTTGCAAAGTCACGGTGCTTAGAAGGCATTACGCTTTGGTTGGGGAAACTCCATCACCGCCCTGAGCCACGGGACACCGCGTGGCCAAGGAGAAGGCTTTCTGGAGCGCTGGGAGCCGGGCAGCAGCGGCCTGGGCCTGGGCCCGGCACAGGAACCCCCTGCTACGTGAGGCCCCCGCGAGAGCCAGGCTCTGTTCCTTTCCACCAGTGCCTCCCCGGTGACCTTGAACCTAATCTCGTGGCCTCTCAAGCCTTGCCATCTCCACCCGTGCAGGAGGCCTGATAAAGCTTTCTGAGGACACCTCTAATCCCAGCGTGTCTTCAGGAGAATGCCTCATGCTCCTGCGGGCGGTCGCCGTGTTGCCCGCCCTGGCTGGCACCTCGCCCATCACACAGCACACGGTGGCTCCGTTGGTCCCCTGCCGAGGAACGTGACCTCTGGCCTTTCCCCTGTCCCTCTCCTAGGAGCTTTGCCCTAGGGACTAGTGATTGAAGCGGGAATTTCAGGAGCATGCAAGGAACACTGGGCATGAGGACTGAATCCTGTGCCTGCCTCGTCCCCTCATCCCAGGCCTGCCCCACTGGTAGGTAGGGACCGAGAAGACCGTCCTTCCCTGTTCCCTGCTGTGAGATGCGGGACCGTTGCAAGACGGCCCACAACGGCCACTCAAGCCCCACCCCCCTCAGGTCACCAGGTTCTGCAACAAGGGCGGAAGGGGGTCCTGCAGATTTATAAGACATCCAAGTGAAGCACAAAGCCTTAATGTTAGGGGTGACCCTTGGGACCAAGTCGGGACAGTGGCTCATTTCAGAGGGAGGGGAGGCTGTGTCCGTTTCTTGATTTGGGTGGTGCTTACAAGGAGGTTTTGCACATTTATCTGTATTGTTTTACAATAAAGATTTTTTTTTCCCTAAGATTTTTTTTATATTTTTTAAAGATTTTTATTTGAGAGAGAGAGAGAGACGGCATGAGAGAGGAGAGGGTCAGAGGGAGAAGCAGGGTCCCCGCCCAGCCCGGAGCCCGATGCAGGACTCGACCCCAGGACTCCGGGATCACGACCCAAGCCGAAGGCAGTCGCCCAACCAACTGAGCCACCCAGGCGCCCCCCCTAAGATTTTATTTTTAAGTAATCTCCACACCCAACGTGGGTCTCTAACTCACAACCCCGAGATCAAGAGTCGCCCGCTGTACTGAGGCAGCCAGGCGCCCCTACAATAAAGATGTTTTTAGAATACCTGCTTTTTCCCTTCCTCACTCCCTTTACCACATAAAGACAGAGCCTGTGGGAAAGAGCCCAGCAAAGCCGCACGCGGGTGGGGCATGTGACGGGTGGTGGCACCGGCCGCCCGGGGGCCTGACTGCAGGCCGGTGCCAGCGCCCCGAGAGGCGGGTTCCGCAGACCGTGCCCCTTGGAGAGGCAGCGGCGGTGAAAGGAAGCTGTGCTTAGCCGGCTGGGTGGTGCCATGCTGGGGAGGGCAGCCCCACCTGCCGCTGGCAGTGTGGCTCTCTCCTGAACGGCCCAGGAATGGCTCAGGAGAGGCCAGTTGCTGTTTCTGAGGGCTGACCTTTACCCGCTTTTGAGAGCCACGTCCAACTGCTCCATAGGACTTTCCAACACCACACGGCATGGTCTCAGAAGAAACACAATGCCTTCACCTCTGAAGTAGCTGGATGGCCTGGGGGAGCGCGTGGAGAGAGGAGAAGCCCTGAACTAGTGACCAGCACTAGGCGGGGAGGGGGTGCCCCTCACGGCCTCTCGGGCCCTGAACGGTCCTGCCTCGCATGGGATGAAAACATGAAATGCTCAGCAGCAACATGAAGCTAAAGATGTAGTAGCCTGGCCAGACGGTAAAACCATCCAGGGCACCATTTTAACCTTCCTGGGGCGATTCCCAGACCTTGCCCGAGGAGCAGCTGGGGTTTTCGTCCCGTCAAGGCCGGGTACTGGCCCCCCTCCCTTCAGGGGTGACAGCACTCTGTGAAGCTCGCCCAGCTCCAGGCTATGGGACTACTCCCCCCACTTATCTTCAGCTGCTTCCCTGGCTGCCTGAGATCCAACCGTGAGCAGCTCCAAGTTGGCCTTGGGGTTGGCACACCTGACCTTGGATTTCAAACATACTTGACCTCTGCCTTCCAAGAGTCTTAGGGCCTGACAGACTAGTTTTCTTTTGTGGGGTTAATTTGCTGGCTAGAAACATGCCCCGCCTCATGATACGTCTACACCCAAGCATCTCAGGACTGTGGTAGGGGAACTTTGATCAGGAAGGCCTTCCCTTGTTTGTAGGAGCGAGCACCGTCCTCCCGCCCACTCTGACTTTTCCCTACAGAATGTTAGGGATTTCCCCTGCTCTTTGCTTCTGCTCTGTCTTCTCTGGGACACTGGACTGTGGACAACCACATGACCAAAACCCGCCATCCATCTGCCCCACCAATTGGTAAGAGGTAGTCCTGGTGAGCAAACAGTTTTCCACAGGCTCAGAAACGGTACCCCGCCCCCCAAAACTGTTGCCGACCACAGCACCCAAGAATCTTCAGTATGTCTGGGAAGGATGTGGTGTTTCCAAGTACAACATTAAATCCAGCGCTATGGGCCTTTCAGGCACTCTTTACAACACTAGGGCCTCTGTTTTGCCAATCTTCAAAGCCAAGGCGGGCAGAGTGACTTCACACGACAGCATCGAGCCTGCCGAGCAATGACATAGGCTCATGCTGTACCAGCTGATAGTGAGGGCTGAGCCTGACATTCACTCTCCTGAGACTTAGATCAGGGCAGTCCCACTCCTTGTGTCCTTTCCACGGAGAGGGAACAAAACAATCAGTTAATAGGTCTTAGTATTCAGACATCAATTTAATAGTGGGACCAAGGGTCGGCAGTCATCCACAGCAAAGCTCCTTAACTGGCTATCACATGGTTGGGGGGTGGTGCAGCTGGTTTCCTTCTACTGGGTCTTTTTCCACGTTCTTTTCTCTCGACCTGGGAGTGACCAAAAGGATTCAGCTTTCTATACACAGTTAGGAGGGACTACCAACCTTTATTTACACTTGGGTTCAAGTTCAGAGCCATCTTAAACAGCATAGCAAAGCGGGGGAAAAGCACAGATCCTGGGACCAGGTTCAGATTCCAACACAAGCATGTTAATGGGGTGACAACAGGCAAACGTTATCTTGAGTTTCTGCGGTAACATGGGGAGAGCATCACCCCAGCTGCCCCCAGCGGTTACAGCGTGGGCCCTAGTCCCCGGCCCGGGCGCGCGGCCAAGCATGGCTCCTGCAGGGCTCGCTCTGCTGGGCAGGGCAGGACTCAGCGAGTGGCTGAACCTCTGAGGTAGCCCCGAACCCCAAACATTCACCACAGGCAAGAAATAGGAACTCAAACTGGTGTAGGGGCTGAGTGAGAAAAACCGCACGCGGTGTTCAATAAATACTAGTTATTTACAAGTCTTGCCGGGACAAGGAGAGAGGGTATCTGTACACGGGCGCTGAGTCCAGATGCTAGTTCCGAGGGGGGAAAGCATATGGTGGTGAGTCGCAATACTCTTTTGCCTGGACCCCTTTCACTTGATAGATGGGTTAAATAACATGATTTTAACAATCATATGCTTAATACTCATCCTAAAAACCACCCAAGCCCTAAATATGCACACTTACACTAAGCATGTGTGTGTGTGTGTGTACATATGCACGGAAGCCACGAGGTAGTTTAAATTGCCATTAAAAACAAACCAATACTTCTCCTAATTCTCTGCCATGGAGCGGTGGCCGGTGGCTGTACACACTCGCTGCCTCAAATTATGGGTTAAATGAAAACCAGAACTCAAGAAATTCTAGGAGTGAAGCATTTACAAGTAAACAGTAAACACAGCTGTATCTTCATTCCTCCGTCTCTGAGAAGGAGGCTGTGACCGCTCGAAGTTAACGTCCGAGTTCTGTGTATTTCCTCTAACACTAAAGAACACAGCCTTCCGATTCTGTACAACGTCCGAAGCGTCTCAGTAGATTCTATTTTACATCTTTCCTCTCCCTGTTTTTGTGGAGGATTCAATACAATCTCTATATATACATTTTAAACATTATTTCTGAACTTCATTTGGAATTCCTTAAATAAAAAAATAATTGCCATTCTCCAGCTTCTTGGGAAAGTGCCAGACTAAGCCCCTGACTGAGCTACTGCTCGGTGTCTGGAGAAATCCCCATCCCACAGCCCCCAGGCCAGAAAAGGGCAACGAATTCACACTACACGGGAAAAAGCAACATCTATTGTTCTTAGAGTCTGACTCTCTTCCCCACAGCAAGAAAAGTCTCTTCATAGGTACGCCAATGCTGTTTTAGGTTGCTAGGGAAATAGGGCCCTCTCAAGCCAGAGCAGGAAAGTCCTCAGGGTCATCCGGGTTGGGAGCAACGTCTTGTGTCTAAAGAAGACAAAAGTTTAGAAACCAACAGTCACTTTACCCATTCCCACTTGGGCAGAGCCCTCTGAGAAATCCGTGCCCGCTCTCACCCAGGGGAGGCGCTGATGGGGGGTGCGGCCCAGACACCCTGGGGAGAGGCAGGCCCCCTGTACGAAGAGGAGATGCACGGGGGTATCGCAGAAGGGTGCCTCTCCCTTCTCAGACCCGCTCCTGTCCCCTCTGCAGGATGGCCAGCAGTGCCCGCCTCCCTCCTTCCCTCCCACAAACCCTTACCGAGTGACCCTTTTTGTATCTGGCACTACATGATGTGGAATGTTTACTACAGGGAGATACAAGGTTGATTAGAGACAGTTCCTGCCTGCCCTGGGGGCCCCTGAGGTTAGGGGAGAAGCCCTGAGGAGGTCACAGTGTGGTATTTTCAGCCAACAGATGGCCGGTGAACGGCCCACAGGAGGGGCGCCCACTGCAGTCTGGGGGCAGAGCGCACATCACGGTCAGGTAGGGCTTTCCAGAAGAGAAGGTTCTTCCAGAGATAAGCCTCAGTGAAGGAGCAAAGAGAACAAAGATCCCAAAAACAGAGCAACTTGACGGTGAAGGGGTGGGGGCCTGAGGGCAGGTCTGAGCTGGAAGAGCACAGGATGCATAGATTTGTTCGGAAAACACTGACAAAGTCCCTATTACACACTTACACTGTGCTAGGCACAGGGAAACCGATAATGAGCAAAAGCAGACACAGTTTCTGTCATCCACTGGAGAGACGGCAGACACTGGTTAGTGATCACACCGGTGAGAAAACAATTACAAATGAAGATAATGCTTCAAAGAAAAATAAAATTCTTTGCTCCAGGACTGGTCTGGAAGGAAATGTGCCCAAAGAAGACTCCTGTGAGGAAGTGAGGTCAGAGGATCTATTACTCTAGGTGAGCAGGCAAAGGGGTAGGAGAAGGACTATCAGGTGCCCAGGCCCTGTGGGGTCAGGAACATTCTTGTCTGAAGAACCAGAGGTAGAGCGGTGTTGGCTGAGAAGTGGGGAAGAAGGGTTTGAGGTGAGAAGGCGAGCCTGGGGAAGTCACAAGGAGGCCTGAAGCCTTAGGGAAGGTTCTGTCTGCCCTAAAGCACCATAAGGGCACAGCACATACAGTCAGCTCACAGTAAGTAACCATCAGGTGATCTGACTGGATCCCAAGCCCGGGGGCCTTGTCTGAGCAGATGAGTGAGTTTTTCACTGGTTCTGAGCGGGCATTCATTGCAGACGGTGGATCTCCCTGGTGACCGTGGAGGCCAGGGCTACTGAATGGTCTGTACCCAACGATGTCCATGCTGCTGCCATCATTGTTCCAAACACCTCGATGTCAGACCCACACTAGACAGGGGCGTGCACAGCAGCCCCTGATGGTCCTCCCAGCGGCACAGCCTGGGGCATCCTCATCCTCTCACTTCCTGTGAGAAAACCACCCCGGACCTAGAATACAAACACTCACCACCACTTCTGCTCTGGGTCCATAGTTCTCTGCCCTTCTGATCCTTCCCCGGCCTCCCCGTGTTCCACCTCTGGCTCCGCGCCCAGGCCGAGGGAGGTTACCAAAATTAATCTCCAGCTGGGATGTGATGTCATTGGCTGCTTTCCGGAAAACGTGGGCATCATCTTCATAGTCATCCTTTACCATCTGAAACAGTTACAGCATCTCAGCATCTCACACACACACACACGTCTCCATGGACACTCACTCAGCTTAGCGGCCCAGAGCTACGCTGCCGGGGAGCCGATACGGCATCATGCTGGGACAGCGCACCCCAACCGCGTGTCGTCGGCACTGGACCGCAGAGCAAGGCAGAGGGGGTGACCTGGTGCTCTGGTTCCAGCACGGAGGGGACCCCTGCCCATTTCCCAGCCACGTGTTCTCACACTCACGGCCTTCATCCAAACATCTCTGAACTCACTATTAATTCAAGTGGGACCAAGTTTCTATCAGTTTGGCAGGTTAAGATGTAAGATTTGACGTGCCTAACAGCAATCGATATAAATGTTTCACATCTAAATGTATTTTGCTGAGATTAAAAAAGTTTTAATTTCTGTCTTCTATTTGTTCACAAATGCTACTTTGATAAATAAGGAAATATCACCTTCCTAGAATAGAACTTGATGGAGAAAATCCTTTCAGTGTGGGTGCTGACTGTACAAATACCATATGTTAAAAACTGCATGATTTACAATAAACAATTCTGACTCAAAATACAGGGAAATAGTAAAACAACAGAGTCTGGTTATCGGAGGATCACCACCGACGCGGCAGGAAGAACCCAAGTTGCTTTTTAAGAACAATTTCAGTCAAAATACTTTGAGAAATGACATTTTAAGAGGGCAAAATAAGTTCTGTGTCTTGTTAAAAGAAAACTACATTAAATATATCTTGTTCCAAATTTGATTTGGCTTCAATTACTAATAATAGATAAAACAAGCCTCTCACTTTTGAATAAAATATAAATCTACAGGAAATATGCCAATGGTCTAAGATGAGAATCTCCGAAGCACTATAATGCTTTATTCCTATAACTTGTCCAGGAAATGGAACCAAGTTTCCCTGAACGTATCAAGCCCTTCTGGCCACGTGCTCATTACAGATTCCATGTTGAACACTCATACTGCCTTCAAAGCTGCACATTAAAATAAAGCAGAGACCTTAGGTAAATGGACTGTTGAAGCTAAAAGGGTGAAAGAACGAACAGTTCAGGAGCACTGGCACTCTGGTAAAAAGGTAGACACAAAAAAACCCAGTAAGAAGCAAAATAACAGCCCCCCGCGTGCTTTTGCGAACAGCAGGCTCTCGGCTCTCGGCTCCGGGGCAGAGCCCGCAGGTGGCCGTGCCTTGGGGCCGGGCTGAGCGTGCTCTGAAGGGGCCCCGCGCACGTCACAGGCGGCTGTTGCTCTGGACTCAGCGAATATGAGGCGTCACCGCAGTGCTCTATCTCTAAGGGTGCCCAGCAGAAAGTAAACTAGTGACCCCAAGATTTGGCTTTTGTTGCTTTTGGAACAATGCCTGGCTAAAACCTTCAGTGCCCTAAGATTAACAAGGACCAAAGACATGTGCCTTCCTGAGACCAAGCCGGATGAGTCAGCTAACCCAGTTGCTTCAGATATTCCAGGAGACCTCTCTCTGGAGCCAGGGAGGATGAATCTGGTGTGGATGCAGGAAAAACAGCTTCTATTTTTACCGAACATGTCAACTGCACATTTCACATCCTGACAGCACACTTGTTTTAGGCAAAGCTTTATTTACAATGCCCCAGAACCAAAAAGAATAAAAGTGAGTAGGAAAAGAGCCAACCCAGGTAGCTGATGGGACTTGTAGAAATACCTCACAGAGATTTCCAAGAGAATAAAATAAGGCCCTGGCCTCCAATGCTGCCGGTGTAGAAAAAGCCACTTCTAGTGGGACAGCTCAAAACTTACTAGCAAGGCGTCTAGGAGATTGGACTCCCCAAAACGGGAGGCGGGAGGGGATCCTGGATCATGAACAACCCTCTAATGAAAGTATTCATTCAAAGAATACAACTAGTCAAAGTGTAAATGGAAACACAGACAATCCTATATAGCACAAAAGTCCCGAGTTTCTAACGGAAAATCAATGAATGGTATCTGGCAGAAAGGAAGAGTTTGTTCACCACCATCATCGACAGACAGACGTGTAGCAGGATAAACAGCTGCGACTGAATGATGGCAATTCTAAATTTTAAAATGAGACTGCTTCAGCGTGCCCTTAAGTTCAGGAACATAAATGGACTGTGATTAAATGACGTGCTCACCATCCAAACAATCTCTGCGGGAGATCTTTCCAAAGCCGAGGCCTCCCCGGGCTGAACACAAACTATGAGAAATAAGGGCCTGACAGGAGGGAAGAACACTGTGAGCGATCCTGAGCACGCCGCCTGGCTCTTGGGGGCTCCTCCTCAGAGCAGAGGGGGGCAGAGCTGTTGCAATTAACAGAGCACAGAATTCCAGTCAGTTTAAAATGGTCCACTACTCCCAATTAAATGCTCTTATGAAGAGTCTGAGCTGCAACTACTCTAATCATGGAATGCACAGTAGTTATCCTGTGAAATGGCATTGTTTGTGAAACACTATACCCCTCTTGAGACAAAAATGAAATGCCATTACCATACAGTATTTGCACAGTCAAAGCACAGTTGTGGGTTGAGCAGAAAATGCACTGTCACCGTAACTGCTTTGTATGAAGTGTCAATAGGTCAAGTTTCAGCTCTTCTTATGAACAATACAGATAGAGATCCAGATAAAATTAGGGACACATCGTATCTGATTACTCCTAGGTAGAAACTAGCATGCCAACTACTAATGTCCCGTTTTCACCCTAGAAGTGGAAAGGGTCCATTTGGTGTCTAGTAAGGTAATCTAGAAGATTACCTCTAGAGAAGAAAATGTCATGCTTACATCATCTCTATACTTGGACTTGTGTATCACCACCGCTTTGGAAGGGACAGTGGACTCAGGTTTCCGGATATTAAACTCAGGCTTTGGTCTGGTCTGTTCTTGAAGATTTTTCCATTCATCGAGGGTCATCTCTTGAACTTGAGTTTCCTCTTCTAACTCCAACTCAGGAACTCTATGAAGAAGTAGAAGTTTTTGATGGGTCTAAAATGTCTATTTCCTCAAAGACAAAGTCATTACTATTCGTTTACCATACTTTCATGGTCCCGCATCTCAAATTTACATAAGGTAAGACAATCTCTGAACCATAAAGCTTCCTTATTTTAATCACTTTATGCCATCACTGCCAACTGAAGGTAATTCCTGTTTTCTTTTCTTTTTTTTAAAATAATCTCTATGCCCAATGTGGGGCTTGTTACTCACACACCCGAGATCGGGAACTGCACGTCCCACCGACTGAGCAAGCCAGGCACCCCACTTCCTGTCTGCTTCAAAACTGTCTTTGAAAAATGGGAACATCACCATCCCATTAACATTACACTTCACCTCCAGCCAGCCCCCTCCCAGATGGCATCATACACAAAATGAGACAACTGCAGACGAAAAGGGAGAAGCTGTTGCATCAGAACAAATACATAGGCAACCATGAACAGAGTTATAAAACAGTGGGTTACGAATACATAGTTTTGTAAATATCCTCTTTAAATTCATGAGATTTTAAAAGAAAACAGAGGATAGATATATCAATGGACTAGAATTCAGAGATCAGAAATAAATCCTCACATTTACAATAAATTGATTTTTTTCAAGCCGGTGCCAAAGACAATTCAGAGGAGAGAGCAGAGTCTTTTCAACAAATGGTGCTGGGAAAACAGGATATCCATATGCAAAAGAAGGAAGGTGGACCCCTACCTCACACCATAAATAGAAGAGTTAGAAATATAAACCCCTAGAAGATGACACAGGCATAAATCTCCATGCTCTTAGTTAGATTAGGCAGTGGTGACACCAAAAGCATAGGCAGCAAAAGAGAAAGTAGATAAACCGGACATCACCAAAACTTCTGAAAACTTTTGTGCTGCAAAGGACACCATTAAGAAAGTGAAAAGACAACCCATGGAATGGTAGAAAATATTTGCAAATCATATATCTGATAAGGGACTTTTTTTTTTTTTTAAAGATTTTATTTATTTGACAGAGAGAGAGAGAGCACAAGTAGGCAGAACAGCAGGGAGAGGGAGAGGAAGAAGCAAGCTCTCCACCGAGCAGGGAGCCTGACGTGGGGCTCGATCCCACGACCCCAGGATCATGACCCAAGCCGAAGGCAGCCGCTTAACTGACTGAGCCACCCAGGCGCCCCTCTGATAAGGGACTTACATCTTGAATCCACAAAGGACTCTTACAACTCAATGAGAAGAAATAACCCAACTGAAAAATAGGCAAGGCTCTGAATAGACATTTTTCCAAAGAAGATCTACAAATAGCCAATAAGATGCTCAATATCATTAGCCATCAGGGAAATGCAAATCAAAACCACAATGACTTATACCCATTCCATACTCAGTAGGACGATTAGGACAAAAAAAGACATTTAACAGGTGTTGGTGAGGATGTGGAGAACTTGGAACCGTATTCATACATTGCTGGTGGGAATATGAAATGGTGTGGCCACTTTGGAAAACAGTCTGACAAATCCTCAAAATGTAGTCTAGAGTTACCATCTGACCTAGCAATACCACTCCTAGGTATACACCCAAGAGAAAGACAACATATGTCCGTGGCAATTCGACAATGCTGTTTGTAGCAGCATTATTCATAATAGCCAAAAAGTGGTAACAGCTTGAATGGCACCGGCTTGAATGTCCATCAACTGATGAAAAGAGAGACAAAATATGGTATATATCTAATACCATGGAAAATTATTTGGCTATAAGAAGAAATGAAGTACTGATACATGTTACAACACGAATAAGCCTTGAAGACCTTATGCCAAACGAAATAAACCAGGCACAAAAAGTTTATGTACGATTCCATTTATATGAAATATCCAGAAAAGGCAAATTCATAGACACAAGGGCGCCTGGGTGGCTCAGTTGGTTAAGCGACTGCCTTCGGCTCAGGTCATGATCCTGGAGTCCCGGGATCGAGTCCCACATCGGGCTCCCTGATCGGCGGGGAGCCTGCTTCTGCCTCTGACCCTCCCCCCTCTCATGTGCTCTCTGTCTCTCATTCTCTCTGTCTCAAATAAATAAATAAATAAATCTTTGAAAAAAAAAAAAGAAAAAAAAAAAAAGAAATTCATAGACACAAAAAGTAGATGTGTGGTAGCCAGGGACTGGGGGCAGGGAGGCCAGGGAATGACTGCTTAATGGGTATAGGGTGACAAAAACGTTCTGGAACTAGGTAACAGTGATAGTTGCATAACACTGTGAATGCAGTAAATGTCACTTAGTTGTACACTTTAAAATTATTAAAATTGTAAATTTTGTTATATGTATTTAGCACCAAAAAGAAAATAGATGAAAAAGAAAGAAATGAAGCACTGACACATCCTATGGCATGGATGAACCTGAAAACATAATGTTAAGTGAAATAAGCCAGGCCCAAAAGGACAAATATTATATTCCACTTATATGAGGTACCTACAGCAGGCAAATTCAGAGAGATATAGAATGGAGGTTACCAGTGGTTAAGGGGAGGGAGTTAGGGGGATTTTTTATTTCATGGATACAGTGTTTCTATTTGTGATGATGAAAATGTTCTGGAGATGGATGGTGGTAATGGTTGCACACAGTGTGAATGTAATTAATACCATTAAACTGTACACTCACAAGTGGTTAAAATGGCGATTTTTATGTTATATATGTTTGTTTTTTTTTTTAAGATTTTATTTATTTATTTGAGAGAGAGAATGAGCGAGAGAAAGCACGAGAGGGGGGAGGGTCAGAGGGAGAAGCAGGCTCCCTGCCGAGCAGAGAGCCCGATGTGGGACTCGATCCCGGGACTCCAGGATCATGACCTGAGCCGAAGGCAGTAGCTTAACCAACTGAGCCACCCAGGCGCCCGATGTTATATATGTTTTATCACAATTTTTAAAAACTAGTAACATAATATAACCCAAACCATTGAATTGTACAGTTTATTTTATTTTTTTTTTTTTAAAGATTTTATTTATTTATTTGAGACAGAGAGAATGAGAGAGAGAGAGCACATGAGAGGGGGGAGGGTCAGAGGCAGAAGCAGGCTCCCCACCGAGCAGGGAGCCCGATGCGGGACTCGATCCCGGGACTCCAGGATCATGACCTGAGCCGAAGGCAGTCACTTAACCAACTGAGCCACCCAGGTGCCCCTGAATTGTACAGTTTAAATGGCTGAATTTTATAGTATGGGAATTATATCTCAATAAAGTTTAAAAGAAAAAAAAATTAGGTGATGAATGGGAAGGGAATCAAATCCATAATATCTTCACAGAAGAGCTAATGTAACTTATGGTCCTAGGTTATAGGTTAATGATACAAAAACTATTAGTGAAATCAGGAGAGAAACCTAATCATAGAGCATCCAAAACAGGCATATTTATAAAGTAACTTTAAAATATCAAGCAAATGGTAGAAAAAACACCAGAGCAGTGGTTGCCTCTGAAGGAGCATGAGGGAACTTTCTGGCATGGTGGTAATATTCTATATTTTGATAGTGGAGTTTGGGTTCCACAAGTTTGTCAAAACAATGATTATACACTTATTTTTATACATTTCACAATGTATAAAACTTGTTTAAGTTTTATATCAGTTTAGTTGGTAAATTAGGTGTTTAAAATTCTTTAAACTTTGCTATGTTGGAAAATTTTCATAATAAAATGTTAGAAAAATGCTAAATATTAAAATATCCCTATATATATATGTATATATATATATATGCAAAAATATGAAAAGACATTAAAAATCTGTAATAGCAAAATACCGTAAATAACCCAAACTCGTCTAGAGAGAAATTTGGTAGAAAAATTATGGATATTAAACATGAATATTAAACCACTTAAAAAGGAATGAAGAATATCTCTATATATTACTATAGAGCATCTCCTGGATATGTTCATGAAGAAGCAAAGTGGAATGTACATTATCATTCACCTAAGAAATAGTGAGACATACAAATGTATCAGGTATCTCCCCCCTTCTGGAAGTTCACATTAAGCTTTTACAAAAAGCCTACATCAGGGGCGCCTGGGTGGCTCAGTTGGTTAAGCGACTGCCATTCGGCTCAGGTCATGATCCTGGAGTTCCGGGATCGAGTCCCGCATCGGGCTCCCTGCTCAGCATGGAGTCCGCTTCTCCCTCTGATCCTCCCCCCTCTCATGTGCTCTCCTCTCTCTCTCTAATAAATGAATAAATAAAATCTTTTAAAAAAAGTCTATATCAGTACCAGTTTCTGCAAACTGAAAGAATTCCAAAGAGAACTTTGGCTTTTATGAAAAAAGGCAAAAAAGTGAAAAATAGTATTCAGCTTTTACTGTGCAGTGCGGCAGAGTGTATGTATCCTGCACAGCAAGAACAGCCTCAGCAAGCTCATTCCCTGGGAACTACACTCAGTGTATCTCAGCATCAAGCTGACAGCTTTGAACCGTGTCTGGGAGCATCTGTGCTTTATCTCAATTTATTTTGTGCATCTGTTAACAAGATGTGTCCTAAAGTATTAGAAAAGCCTAAGCAGTTAATTTTTGGGTCTAGGAATGCTCAAAAAACTTTTAAATATAAATTAATGGTAATCACTTCTTTGTTTTATGCCATTTTGGCCTATGAAATGTTTCAAAGGAATGCCCTACTTTCGGATAGCAGGGGAAACCTGTATACATATAGGTTTTATTTTAAAAAATTATAATATAGGCCAGAGAAAACACAGATAGAAGCTAGTTGGAAAGTGTAATGTTTTATCAGATTGAACTTTGGAAACACAAATGTTTTATAATTATAAAATAGATTTAAATTAAAATTCAATCTAAAATTTGAGAGCAAAATTAATAAAATTAACCTAATGTTTATCAAGTTGGTGATATAACCATCCAGAGAAACTATTTAAAGTGTCTTTAATATGACTTTGATTACTCATTTCTCTCTATATAACTTTTTAGTAATCATATTATTGGACACAGTGTTGGTAATGTTGTTTGTTACTTCA